AAAGACGAGCAGCAGAATGATTTAAAGAACCTGCTAGCAGCCGTACCGACCGAATTACAGACACTACTGAAACGGTTCCCGGAGATATTTCCGGATGATTTACCACAGGGACTGCCACCTCAGCGAGCGCACGACCACAGGATCGAGCTAGAACCGGGGGCACAGCCAACAGTACAGCGGCAATTTCGACTGACCCAGCCCGAGCTCGACGAGTTAAGGAAGCAGTTAGATTACCTGTTAGAGAAGCAGTTTATTCGCCCAAGCTCGTCACCGTTCGCCGCACCCATACTGTTCACACCGAAAAAAGACGGAGGTTTTCGCATGTGCATCGACTACCGAGCGCTTAACCGAGTAACAGTCAAATCGCGATACCCCATCCCCCGCGCCGACGAACTCATTGACCAACTGCGAACAACACGTGTCTTTTCGAAAATAGATTTACGGGGAGGTTACCATCAGATTCGGGTCGAACCAACGGACTGCGCAAAAACAGCATTTAGGACTAGGTACGGGTCATTCGAGTATACAGTAATGCCTTTCGGGTTGACGAACGCGCCTGCGACTTTTCAGATGACCATGAACGAGGCGTTTAGACCACTTTTAGATAAATGCGTGATCGTTTACCTCGACGATATCCTCGTTTACAGTCGGGATAAGCAGCAACACTTAGCAGATCTCGAAGCAGTTTTTAAGGTTTTAGAGGAACATCGGCTGCTCACCAAGGGCTCCAAGTGCGAGTTTTTTAAGGATAGGCTAGAGTTTTTAGGTCACGTCATTTCCGAGGCTGGGGTTGAGATCGACCCAAAGAAGCTGGATACGGTAAAAGCATGGCGCCCCCCGACAAACATCACGGAACTGCAGAGTTTTTTAGGGTTTGTTAATTACGTTCGACGGTTCGTGCCCGACATGGCAAGTTTGACAGCCCCACTAACTGATTTACTGCGTAAGGGGGTCGCTTTTACGTGGGGGGAGAAAGAGCATGCTGCCTTCTCTGCCCTAAAAAACGTCCTCTGTTCACCACCCGTTCTACGTATCGCTGATCCCCACCGCCCTTTCGAAGTGGTTACCGACGCAAGTGACATCGCCATCGGAGCTGTACTGTTACAGGACTTCGGCAACGGCCTCCAACCCATCGCCTACGAATCACGCAAACTACATCCGCCTGAGCGAAATTACCCGATACACGACCGCGAAATGCTCGCGATCGTGCATGCATTCAAAGTTTGGCGCTGCTACTTGACTGGCGCAGACGTGACAGTACGGACAGACCACCGATCTCTACAGTACCTCCGCGCACAGCCCCACCTCAACCCACGACAGATTCGATGGCTCGATTTCCTCGAGTCGAATTTTCACTATACGGTCACATACAAAAAAGGAGCATCGAATATCGCCGATGCACTGACCCGCCCCACTGCCCAGATCCACGCGATACTACTCGCCCAGACCAGCCCACTGCTTACCGGCCTATTTACCCACGGATATCAAACAGACTCGTTCTTTACAGGAGGCAACTCACAGCAATTCGCAGCGGCAAAAGGAGTCTATTACGTAAAAACTGGAACCGACCGCATCTGGGTACCGGGATACACGCTACTGCGGGAACTACTGTTACAGGAAGCACACGACGGAGTTACCTCGGGACATTTCGGGGTAGAAAAAACACGGCAGCAGCTGCAGCGGTACTACTACTGGCCAGAAATGTTGACCGATGTGCAACGACACGTGGCATCGTGTCCCACTTGCCAGCTCATGAAGTCAAGCAGGAAGCGACCAGCGGGGCAATTACAACCCATCCCGCCTCCAGAGCGTGCTTGGCAGCAGGTGACGATGGACTTCGTCACGGGGTTACCAGCTGGGGCGAGTGGGAATGACGCGATCCTGGTCGTCGTCGATCGACTAACGAAAATGGCTCATTTCGCAGCATGCAGGAAATCCATCACAGCCGAAGAAACCGCCCGACTATTCATCTCCACCGTCGTACGACTGCACGGGATACCCGCGTCGATCATCAGCGACAGGGACACGAAATTTACCAGCAACTTCTGGCGGAACCTGTGGCAGCAGTTCGGCACGCGCTTACAGTTCAGTTCATCCTATCACCCCGAAACCGACGGACAGACGGAACGGACAAATCAGACCATGGAGCAGCTGATTCGAGCCACGTGCGACGACCCGAATACGTGGGAACAGCAGCTGCCACTTATCGAATTCGCATACAATAACGCACCATCAGCCACGACGCAACAGTCGCCGTTTTATTTGAATTACGGACAGGACCCAACAGTACCCATGACACCGAATCCCGACAACCCAGTCCCACGAGCACAACAGTTCGCCGAGATTCTGCAAGCAGCACGAACCAGGGCAGCAGAAGCAATAAAAAAATCAAACATCATCGCTAAACGTAACGCCGATCGACATCGCAGACCCGTTACTTATCAGCCCGACGACCTCGTATTACTCGACACTCAGAATCTTCGCCTGCCCATCACTCCAAAACTTCGCCCCCGGTATTGTGGGCCATTCCGCATCAGCCACATGATCACACCCGTCACCGCCCACCTCCTCCTCCCTGCTGACTGGTACGTCAGCCCGTCATTCCACGTCAGCCTACTTCGCCCTTACATCCCATCCACGAGCCAACTGCCACGAAATCGCCCAGCCAGCATGACACGTCCCCCAACCGAACCACTCATCACCCCTGAAAAAATCCTCAGCCACCGAGTCCGCGACCCTCGGGGAGCCCGAAGGATAGAGTTCCTAATTCGCTGGAAGGACCGAACGCCCACAGAAGACAACTGGGTCCCCCTGGATAAAATTGAGAACCACCCTGTCTTCCCCGAGTATCTGCGAAGCCGAAATTTCCGCGACGTCCACGCGCTCTCGTAAGAGGGGCCTCCTTGGGGAGGGGGGGTAGTGTAAGGAAATTCCCTTTTCCTTACTTCGCGTCCCTGCTCAACGCGTACGTCACTGTAGCACCTCAGTCAGCACCGTTACCACTCACGACCATCGCATCATTCATTATCCCGCCCTCTTCGCAGATCGCATCCCGACCTCACGGCTCGGCTGGTAACCCGCGCTCCGGGCCTACGCTTCGACACTTTTCCTAACCTCAGCCCCAGGCTCGTCGCGCGACAACCACAGTCCATTACCGTTACCACTATTGTTTTCGCTATATAACCCTTCGCTCATGCCTTCGCTCATTGTACACTTTGCTTCGATAGTGCAATTCTCGTTCGTTCACTCAATTGCACTCGTAACACGGACACGCAACCCCAAACGGCGCTTTATCAAGGATATACCGAGCCTACTTTGTCAGTTTCGCGAACCATGTGTCAGAAGAAACAGAACTATTGGCTCGGCCCAGGTTTTTGTTCGCACCAATTAAATCTCCCTGCCGAGCCAGGCTCTGGTAACACCTCGGCGGGAATCTGAATTTGACTGGGAATTCGAACGAAGCACGGTGGCGTTGTGGGAAGAAAGGGATGTGAGCCGTGGGATCAGGAGTTCTGGTCTGTGCTGTTTGTTCGCCATGCCTGGAAGTGTGCCTAGTCTTGGTTGCTGACCCGTGCCAGCCGAACAAGCATGCCGGTCGGGTGGGGTGCTGGTTGTAATGCTCTCAGGACATGTACTTATAGACGTGAATTGAGTGTTATTTTTACAGAACATTCTTGAGGGTCTTACTGTGACCGTGAAGAATATTCAAAAGCCGGACTTAGGCCTGAGGCCAGTGATCATGTTTTATTCCAAAGCCATACTCAGCCCTCTTCTGTATCTGTAGGGTCATCGGAAACGATACCAACTTCAAACGCCATCCATATTGTACGAGACCTCCAGGTTTACTTCAAATTCCAAGATATGGCTCCTTGCTACTTTGAAAATCGAGAGCAATGCACAGCCGAGACAGGTTATTTCTCTCGTTCTTCGATTTTCGAAGTTCGCGCACGACTGATGAACGGCTCACATGGTCGGGACTTGGCAGTAGTTGCCACGGGTGAGAGAAACCGTGTTCTGCTGAATCGTGTTGCAGGTGCTCATCTCGAGCACCTCCGCACAGATTCTTTCTTTCTTTTACGTGAACGAAAACAATAGACAGCTTGTACTGTACTTGGCTCTGGGCCTTCGCATCTTCAAGCTTTTCGCGACTTTTACGACTGCTGCGATTGCCTTCTCGTAGCTTGTACATTTATACTCAGCCATTTCGGTGGAATGCGTTTTGTGTATTTATAACCAGCGACTACGCTCTGGCACATCTTGGCTTCGCATCTGGTGACAGATATTCACAGGATCGTCTCCATGGGATATACCTTCTCCTTCTCGTTCAGTCTATACCCTTCCTCTCACCGTCACCGCCAATAAGCCTGCGTATTTGTACCAGGCATAATCTGACCATTTCAAAATACGTTTCCCGTCGCCTCAGCATGGGTTCTGCCTTGTCCGTTCCGTTCAGCCTCCGCTCTTCGTCTCGCCTTCACCGTCAGGCATCACCCTCGCGAGATCGCCACCGGGCGGGTTACCACAGTTCTTCGTCCAGATCTAGGGAACCTCGCAGCGGGAGAACGGACGGTCGAGATTCCCCAGGGCTATGTGTCAGCAACGGAGCTCGGAAGGTCAGGAAACGAAAAAAACGTGGAAACTTTTTTTGGCTGTTCTGTTTCGGCCGGGAAAGCGGAGGATCCGTAGCTGACATTAGCTCCATCCCCAGCTGCCCGGTTTCGGACGACGGCCGTCAGAATGTAACGGAATCCGTCGTCTCTCTGACGGCGGCCGACAGACCGACCGGAGAGCCGTCAGTGCCGCCAGAGAGCGCGGCAAAAATGGAGACACCTAAAACGGCATCTGGTCGGTGGCTGCTGGATAGTGGCTTCCTCGAAGATTCCTCGCACGTGTTAACTTCGTTGTCGCAACACCAGCCAGATGCGTCGCAGGCGATTCCGTCGTTGTCGCATGCCAGCGGTTGCAATGTCGCTCACGCCTCGTCCTCCGTCCAGCAGTGCATGAACGATCCAGCAGGCGACGTTTCCGCAAAAGAGATTTCACACATCCCTGCTCCAGGCGATCAGTGCGACTTATGCGAAGCCGGCGACATTCGCGAGCTGTGCGACGCCGTTCTCCCACCGGCGACAGCAGGGTGTGAGGGTACAGCGACAGGAGCGGAATCCGAGCAGAGAGTGGGTGATGGGGATAGGTGGGGAGAATGCGGTGAGGCGGAAGAAGCGCGCGCACAGCGGGGGAGGAACCCCACCCCCGAGGCGGTCGACGTTGCAGCAGGAATGAGCCCCGGCGAAGTCTTTGCGCGGACTCTGAAGCTAGAGGCGGAAGAAGCGTGCGCGCAGCGGCGGCGGAGCCCCACCCCCGAGGGAGTCTCCGCGCGGACTCCGAAGCTAGAGGCGGAAGAAGCGTGCGCGCAGCGGAGGCGGAGCCCCACCCCCGAGGCGATCGATATGATGAGCCTGCTGCAGGGGCTCAGCGACGGGGAGGAGGAGGCGGAGGAGGGAGCGGAGGCGGACGGGGAGGGGGAGGAAGACGCTGAGGGTGGAAGAGAAGCGGAGGGGGAGAGGGAGGAGGCGGGAGAAGAGGCGGATGGGGAGGAGGGTGAGGGGGAAGAACGCGACAGGCAAGGGGGTGAGGTGGGAGAGGAAACAGACGGGGAGGAGGGTGAGGCGGGCGGAGTGGTGGACTGGCAGGGGGACGGCGAAAAGGAGGGGGAAGAGCGAGCAGCCGTGCGGCAGCAGCAGGGGCATGGAGGGAGTGAAGCAGACCAGTCCCACTTGCTGCCCCTGCTGTCCCCACATTCTCCGCAGTCCCAGCATTCTCCTCAATCCCAACATTCTCCGCAACCCCAGCAGCTTTCACAGCCTCAGCTACAGGAGCAAACTCAAGAGCCGGAACGAACTCAGGAGCTGCAGCAACGTCAAGATTCGCAGCGTTGTCAAACGGAGCCCGAGTTGGGTGCTGATAATGGCCACGACGAGCAGGTGCTGTTAGCTCCTCGTGCGGTTGAGTACGGTGGGGAGGGTGTGGCAGCCGTGGAATGGAATGCTGTTGGTCACCAATGCGGTGTAGAAGATGGTGGCACTGTAGTGGCTGTAACGGAGTGTAACACTGTGACGGAGTGTAGCACGGTAACGGATTGTGGTTCTACCGCGTATTCGAGCTCCGTGGCTTGTTCTACAACCGCAGGGCCGGGGAAGCAGGCGGAAGGGCATGCGGAAGAGGACAGGGGGAGAAGCAGCGCTCAGGGTGAGGGGGGGAATGGGGGAGGTAAGGCGCAGAGTCGCAGGGCGGGAGGGGGGGAAGGCACAGGGGGTAAGCGCAGGGGCAGGGGCATGGACAGGGGCAGGGGGCGGGGGAGGGGAGGGGTTATGGGCGGGGTACGGGAGTGGAAGGGGAAGAAGAGGGGAGGAAGCGGAAGCGGGAGAGGTGGTGGGGAAGGGGGGTGGAGAGGAGGCGGGGAAGAGTTATGGCTGGACGATGAATGTTTGGAGGAGTTGGGTGCGGTGGAGGTGTGTTTGGAGGAGAGCGTTCAGTCGAACGATGTGGAGGTGGAGGGGATGGGGGGGAGGGGCGGGGGAGGAGAGGGGGGGAGCGCGGTGGAGTGGGGAGGCGGGGGCGAGGGGGATGAGGTTGACGGGGGGACGAGTGGGGAGAGCCTTTTGAAGGGCACGAGAGGGGAGGAAGTGAAGAAGGGAGAGGAGGGAGAGGAGGGGGAGGAGGGAGAGGAGGGGGAGGAGGGAGGGGAGGGAGAGGAGGGAGAGGAGAGAGAGGAGGGAGGGGAGGGAGAGGAGGGAGAGAAGGGAGAGGAGGGAGAGGAGAGGGGGGAGCGAAATGCGCGTTTGGGGGATCTAGAGGATGGTGAGGGAGTGGATGATGGGAAGGGTGTGGCGGAGGAAAGGGGAGTGGTGGATGGGGAAGGGGTAAAAGATAAGGAGGGAGCTGATGGCCGGGAGGGGTTGGAAGATGAAGATGGGAAGGGACCGGAGGATGGGGAGGAGATGAGGGATGTTGATAAGATTGGAGGGAAGAACGAGGAGGGAGAGGATTGGGGAAACTGGGAGGGTGGGAGAATTTGGGTTGACAGAGAGGAAGGTGAGGAGAGGGCGAGAGACAGACGGATGGACGACGAGGGAGGGTTGGGAGATGCGAGGAGGGAAGAAAAGGAGGTCGAAGGTGGTGAGGCGGGAGGAGAGGGGAGTCAGAAAGCAGGGGAGGCTGACGCAGATGGGGCAGGGGGGCAGACGAGGAGGAGAGAAGAACAAGGGGGTGAAGCAGAAGGGACAGGAGGCGAGGCGAGGAGGGAGGATCAGGGGCGGGGCGGAGGTGGGAAGGGGCGGTACTGGGGGCTGGTGAGCGTCGGTGTGCTGGCGTGGTTGAGAGAGGAGGGGACGGAGGAGGGGAGGGGGGAAGTGAGGGAAGAAGTGAGACAGGAAATGAGGGAGGAAGAGAGGGAGGAGAGGGTGGAGAGGGAGGAGAGGGAGGAGAGGGAGGAGAGGGAGGAGAGGGAGGAGAGGGAGGAGAGGGAGGAGAGGGAGGAGAGGGAGGAGAGGGAGGAGAGGGAGGAGAAGGAGGAGAGGGAGGCGGAGCACGTAACAGGTGCAGGGGGACTGGAGGAGGATGAAGACTTGGTGGAGGATGGGGAGGTGAGAGGGGTGACTCCCCTCATGGCAGGCAGCAGCAGCGCCATGGCTGCAGAGTACGAGCAGCACGTGCGGAGGGACGAAGATTCGGGCGCTTTGGAATCCCTCCTGGCGGAAAGCAGAGCGGTGGTAACGCGTGGAGGGTGGGAAGAGGACGAGGAGGGAGGGCGTGGGTTAAGCCCTCTCCTGGCGAGCAGCAGAATAGCCATGAGCAGAATGGAAGAGGCGTGGAGGGAAGGCGTGGGGGAGAGGAGTACCGGGAGTGTGGTTGTGATTAGAATGGAGGCGGACGGGAAGGAGGAGGAAGAAGAGGAGGGTTCAGGGGTGGTGTCCATGCTTTGTGCGGAAGGGAATGGGATGGAGGAAGGAGGTGGGAGCAAAGAAGGGGTTGAGGGAGGAGAGAGAGGCGAGAGGGCTGGGGAAGGAGAAGGGGGTTTGTTGTCTGGGAGTAAACCAGACGTGATTTCAGAGTTAGCTCAGAAGTCATTAGAGGCCAAGGGAAGAGAGGCGGCTAAAAGGGCTGGCAAGCGAAAAGGGGATGAATCAGCTGGGAGTAGAGCAAAGCAGGGCAGAGGTGCTGCAGAGGAATGGGTTGGGCGGGGTGAGAAAGCCGTTGTTACTGTTACTCGGGCTGCTGGTTCCGAAGGGGAGCAGAGAGAGGGAGAGCAGGGAGAGCAGGGAGAGCAGAGAGAGCAGGGAGAGCAGAGAGAGCAGAGAGAGCGGTTCGTGTTTGATCCAGACTTACTCGCCTCCATGGAGGACGTCTTTAATCGACATAGTGCTGCTGACTGGAGCAAGGTCACCCCGCCCACCAGCCCTGAGAAAGGCGAACACGCAAAGGAGGAAGCTGCTGGTGCAGGTGGTGGGGGTGGGCAGGAGGTGGGAGGAGGTGACGAGCAGGGCGGTTCAAGATCAGCGCGGCTGGTCGCTGGGTTAGGAGAAGCGGCAGGTGGTGGGAGAAAAGATTCGCTGCTTTCAGAAGTGGGGCTGCCTCAGGTGCCTCATGATCCAGCAGCACAAGTGCTGTTATCCCCAGGTGATTCTTCAGGTGCAGCAGAGAGTGTGTTGGTTTCACAGATGTCTGAGGGTCAGGTCAGAACGGACAGGCCATATACCTCAGGAGTTATTCCAGGTGCAGAGGGGCTGCAGCTGAGAGGTGATCTGAACCTAGAGAATGTACCGAGCCTAGGGAAGGTGCCGAGCCTAGAGAAGGTGCCGAGCCTAGAGAAGGTGCCGAACCTAAAGAGAGTCCTGAGTGTCGAGAACGAGGATGCAGCAAACCTGCCAACCTGTGAGACTGTGTCGAGTGCACAGGAAATGCCGCGCCTACAGGAGGTGCCGAGCCTACAGGAGGTGCCGAGCCTACAAGAGGTGCCGAGCCTACAAGAGGTGCCGAGCCCAGACGAGTCTATGAGTCCGAAGCTGCCCCCAAGCCCAAGGGGTGGGGTGACCAACTATACAAGCCCCTATAAGCTCACAAGCCCTTACAGTCACAGCAGTTCGTTTAAGCATGGCAGCCCTTGCAAGCACGGGAGCCCTTACCAGCGCAGCCACCCGTACAAGCACAGGCGCCTAAAGTCAGACATGTCTGCAAGCCCAGCAAGCCCAAGCACCCTAGCACCGATGCAAGCACAAGCACCAGTGCACAGTAGCCCTCACACGCACGAAAGCCCTTACCAGCGCCACCCATACAAGCACAGGCGCCTAAAGTCAGACATGCCTGCAAGCCCAGCAAGCCCAAGCACCCAGAGTAACAGTCATCATACTCAAGGTAGTCCTGGCCGGCTGCTTTTCCTCTCTATAAGCAGCCTCCGTTTCTCTGCTGGCGCTGCTTCTGGCTCTCGTACCAGCGCTGTTACTGGTGGTGAGAGGGACGGCGGCTCTGGTTGCAGTGGCGGCTATGCCACTGCTGCTGGTGCTGGTGTCGGTGCTGCTGGTGCTGCTGTTGGCGGTGCCAGCTGGCGGATTGGCGTGAACAGTGCTTCTCTGCGCCGACTCCTCTCCTCTGCTGCTTTGAATGGCGATGAGGGGAGGGGAAAAGAGCAAAAGGCTGAATTGGATAGTGTTGGGCGGAATGCGGAAGCGATTGGGGGAGAGGTGGGTGCAGTGAGGGCAGAAGAGGAGGGAGAAGCAGCGACGCGTGAGGCAGCAGTAGCAGTAGCGATGAGTGCAGGAGTGGCAGGGGAAGGGGTGGGGGAAACGCAGGGGAAACGAGGAGGGGGGGGCTGGGATGGCAGAGGCAAAGTTGAGAAGACAGGAGCAGCTGCAAAAGCAGCAGTAGCAGTGAAATCAGCAGCAGAGGGAGAAAGGGAAGGAGAGGAATGGAGGATTGCTAGACATGGGGCAGAGAAGGGACTAGGAGCACCATTGGCACCAGCATCGGCTGCAGATATGGTTGCTGCTTCGATTGGGACACAGATTATAGTTGCGGAAGGAACAGCAACGTGTAGAGAGGATGTAGCAACAGCAACAGCAACGTCTCAAAAACACCCTCTCTACACTGGGACACGGATTCTAGTTGAGGAAGGAACAGCAGCAGATGCAGCAGCAGCAGAAGCAGCAGCAAAACTGTCACCGATTGCAGTGGCGCCACTCTCAGCAGATGCGCAGTTAGCAGCAGCACGTGCGCTTCTGTCCTCATTTGAGAGGAGGTGCCCTCCAGGAGGAGAGAGAGGGGTGGTGCTGTATGTGACGACTTTGAGAGCGATGAGGAGCAACTTCGAGGCATGCTGTGCTGTCAGACAGATGCTCAAGGTGAGAAAGAGACTGGAGGTGAGTGAGTGACACTCGAGCACACATGGAAGAGGGTTCCCCATTGGTGGTGCGGATGGTGCTGTATGTGACGACTTTGACAGCAATGCGGAGCAACTTCGAGGCGTGTTGTGCTGTCAGGTCAGACAGATGCTCAAGGTGAGATGAAGGATGCTTGAAGTGTGAAGAAGACTCAAGGTGAGAAACACACCCCCATTGGGTGACAGAGACATGCTGCGAGGGCTTCCCATGGGTGATGCTCCATGCTAATCGGCCACTCCTCCCTCTCCCTGCCGCACCGCACAGCCTTGGGGGCGCTGCTGCTGTGCTGCGCGTGGGGGAGAAGGGGCTGCTTGCTTCTGCCTTGGGGCGACTTTTCCAGCCGCCTAAAGACCCTTGATTTCCCTCTCTTCTCGTCGCTCTCCCACTCTACCTCCCCCATTCAGACCCTCGGCGTCCCCTTCCATGAAAGAGACGTGTCACTCCATCTTCCCTACCGCCAGCACCTCAGGGCACTCATAGGCCGCTCCTCCCTCTCCCTGCCGCACCTCTTTGCTGCCGGACGCTGCCTTGGGGGCGCTGCTGCTGTGCTGCGCCTTGAAGAGCAGGGGCTGCTGCTGCCGCTGCTTGCTGCTGCTCTGACGGATGGTGCTAGTGGGGGAGGGAGTGGGGTGAAGGGCGGTGCAGCAATGGCAGGAGGGGGGAGGGTGGTAGGAGGGAGAATGGGAGAAGGACGAACAGCAGAGGGGGCAGAAACGGCTGGAGAGGCAACGGGAGAGGAAGCAGAAGCAGGAGCAAGAGGAAAATTAGCAGCAGCCGGAGCAATAACAGGTTCAGCATTCGACTGCCTAATCCCAGTGGCCACAGCAAGTGGAGCAGCGATGGCAGGAGAAGGAGCAGCGCCAGCAGCAGCAGATGCGGCAGCTTCTGATGAAACTACCGGGGCTAGCGGTGCTGCTGCTGCTGCTGCTGCTGCTGCTGTGGTTCCTTCAGAAACTGCATCTGACGCTGCTTGTGCACCGATGAGCACAGCCCCTGAAGAGGCAGCAGCAGGCACCACTGCTGCTGCTACCACGGGCAGAGTCAGTCGCGCAGAACCAGCAGAGGGTGGTGGTGACTCTCATGGCACTGTGACTGTAGGGCCTTGTAAGACTGGTGTGACTGGCGCTGGTGTGGCTGGGTCTGGTGTGGCTGGGTCTGGTGTGGCTGGGTCTGGTGTGGCTGGGTCTGGTGTGGCTGGCAGATCCAGTGTGAGAAGAGCACTGTTCCAGGGAAGCAACAGCGGGGCACGAGGTAATGATGCTGGCGGCAGCGGCGCTGCCAAGGATACTCGCACCAATTTCACTGCTTTGGCCTGCCCTACTGGGGTAGGCTTTGCTGGGGTAGGCTCTGCTGGGGTAGGCTCTGCCGGGGTAGGCTCTGCTGGGGTAGGCCGCTCTGTGCCAGCTTTTTCTGTGCCAGCATCTGCTTTGTTTTCTGGCTGTTATGGCAGCAGCTGTGGCAGCAACAGCGTGGCGAGTGGAGGCGCATTTGGGGAAGGTTATAGTGGCATGTCTTGGGAAGGTGCGTCTGGGGAAGGTGCATCTGGGGAGGCCTACAGAGGTGCATCTGGGGAAGGCAGTGGAGGTATATCTGGGGAGGTTTACAGAGGAACGTATGGGGAAGGTACATCTAAGGAAGGCTGTAACCAGAGCAGCAGCAGAGATAGCAGCAGCGAGATGGGGTCTGCTGCTTGTTTCCCACCTCGGTCCCTTTCCTGCAACGCGGCTGCTGTTGCTGACGTGGCAATAGCTGCTGCTGCCAGGCGTGCGCTTGCCCATCCAGGTGGCAGCGGCGGCAACCTGAGCCGTGCCACATCAGCGCACACTCTCTCTGCAACCGCCAGCCATTTTACCAGTCGTGCTGCCAGCCGTGCTATCAAGATGCATGCAGCGCAAGCGCAGCAAGGAAAGAGCTGCTTCACTTGTGGTGGGTTGAGGTATCTAATTTGCACTCTCTGTGCGGGCAGCCGTGAGGTGCTATCCAGGGATGGTTGGTCTGTACGACCCTGTGTGCATTGTGACCCTCGTGGAATCATTGTCTGTCCTCGCTGTAGAGATTTGTGAAGTGCAAGGCAGCAAGGGAAAAGGCTGCTTCTCCTGTGGTGGGTTGAGGTACTGTATCTAGTCTGCACTCTCTGTGGGGGCAGTCGCGAGGTGCTATCCAGGAATGGCTGGTCCGTAAGGTCCTGTGTGCTCTGCGATCCTCGTGGAATCATATTACCGTATGCCCTCGCTGTAGAGGCTTGTAATCTATCGGTGTGGTTACCAGGGCCAGTTGCAATGTGCTGTCTCGAGATGGCTGGTCCGTAAGTGTCTGTGCGCATTGTAATCCTCGAGGAATCATAGTCTGCCCTCGCTGTAGGGATTTGTAAAGTACATTGAGGTTGAAGTGATTTGAACAAATTGCCTCCTCACTGTCTGGGTGGGTACCGTAGTTGTGAGTCGAGAGGTGTTTTCCCGGGACAGCTGGTTCCATGTGCCTGCGCGCATTGCGACCATCGCGGAGAGGAAATCGGTTTGGCAATGTTGTAGGGTAAGCTATATCGGGTTACACTACTGTACCATGGTTGGTAACCGCACTGTGCGGGACCGGTCACATCTCAGGAAGACGGGTGACCTGAGGAGGGACTCAGGTATTACCGTACATGGATATGGGATGAGAGGCTCAGTACCCGGGAGCAGCAATTCTGTCATGAGATGTGTACTATGTACGTATCTGGTACAGAACAGATACGATAATGCACTATATACAGGTTCCGTTCCGTACCATGTGTCTACATAACAGGCGAACTTATAAAAAGAACAGCCCAAGTGTAGCCTTGTAACGCTAGCTAGCCCCCAGGTTCAGGATCCATCCCACCACAAATCAGGCCAACTGCACACCATAGCAAGTACAGAAACAAGATTTCATGCTCTTATTCCATGCCTCCGCGTATCGCCTTCAAAGTTCCCAAGTAGGAAACCCAAACCAACTCTGCCCAACCAGCCAAATCCAACCCTCTGCCCAACCAGCCAAATCCAACCCAACACGACCCAACCAGCCCACTTTGAAACCCGTCAGCCCACACTCCTCCTCGGGGCAAGTCGAAGGCCTCCTCCTCTTCCTCCCAAGCCACGGCCTTCATGCACGTCAACAGCCCTTTTCAGCTACACTCTTCCTCAGCGTACTACAACGGCCTTCTCTGCTCTCTCTACCCATAGACCTAGGCTTTATTACAACCCACACGTCACCTCCTCCTCTTCCGTCACAGCCACCTCCTTACAGCACTGCAGAGGGCCTCGTGTCTCGGGATGTGCCATGGTTACTTCTGATCCCACTCAGAAACTCAAATCTTCTCCTCTTGCATCTCCACCAGGCGCTTCACTGCCCCTCTGCTCACACTGCTCACGCCTGCCCACCACTCTGCATCCTCTTGCATCTTGAGACGTCTCACACCTTCTCCTCCTCCTATTGCATCTCCTTCAGGCCTTCGAGAGAGCTCTGTTCACACTCCTCCTGCCTTTCCTGCTGCTGATGCCTGCTCACCACTCCGCATCCCCTTGCATCTTGAGATGTCTCACATCTTCTCCTCCCCCTCCTCCTGCATCTCCTTCAGGCACTTCAACAGCCATCCGCTCACTCTCACCCTGCCTTTCCCCGCTCTTCCACCCATCACCCTCTTCAGCGCAACCCCCTGCTGCTCACGCCTGCTCGCTACTCTCTCCGCCCATGTGCCTCGCCGCCTGCCCCCGCGCACTACCTCAGTCGCTTGCGCTTGCACTTGCGCTTGCGCTTGCGCTTGCACCGACCCGGACTGAGAACCCTTGTGCTGATGCAAATGCCTCTTGCCGCCACCCGCTCTTTTAGCGGCCTGCACGGCCTGGGGAGGAGACGTCATTTGTCGAATCAGAAGGCTCCAGCTGGCAGCCACACCTGCTTGCACCACCCCCCTCCTCAACACTCCCTTCTGCTGCTCACGCCTGCTCACCACTCTCTCCACCGCAGTCCATCCACCCTGCATTACTCTCTGCAGCACACCCCCCTGGTGCTCGCGCCTGTTCGCTATTCTCTCCGCCCATGTGCCTCTCCGCCTGCCCGCACCCACTCCCCCAGCGGCTTGAATGGAGTGGAGAGGGGAAGCAACGACCAGACACCCTCCCCTCCCCTCCCCCTCCGCTTCTGCCCTCCACACTATCCGGGGAATCCCCTCTTCTGTCACTTCCCCTTCCTCCACCTCCCCCTCCTCCCCCTCCCCCCCATCACGTGCATCCCATTTCTCCCCCTCCTGCCCCTCCCCCGCTTCCTTTATCCCCAGCACCTCCCCCTCCACCCTTTCGTCCACCTTTACAAACTTCTCCGTCCCAGCGTTGACTTGCGTTGACCAGGCGCCAGCACCAGCATAGTCAGCATCCAAGTCAGCAGCAGCAGAGTCAGCAGCAGCAGAGTCAGCAGCAGCAGAGTCAGCAGCAGCTGAGAGGGCACCTGGAGGGGAAGAATCTGCAGTACCAACTGGGAGGCGTGTCCCGCGCGCCACGGGGGAAAGGGGGCGCGGAGGGGGGAGGTCGCAGCTATCCGCGTGCGCAAGGAGGCGAGGCTTCTTGGCTTGAGTGGATTGGGAGGTGGTGGAGCGAGCGGTTAGCCCCTGGCCTGTCCGTACTGTCCGCACTGTCCGCACCGTCCGCACTGCCTGCTCTGCTAGCATCATAGGGTTTGCCTGTACGGCGTGCTCTGCTTGCTCTGCTGCTTGCACCAGCGGCAGAGCTCGGGCATGATAGCGCCAGTAGTTGGGTGCTGGCAGGGACTGCTGACGCTCCAGCGCGGTGACAATACCCTCGCTATTCACCTGCCACGTGGCACGAGACCGCTTCCCCACGCTCCCTCCTCCTGCGCCTGCTGCTGCCACAGTCACTGCCGCTGTTGACGCTGCTTCTCCTGCGGCTGTTGCCGCCGGTAGCGGCGGAAATGGCGCCCTCCGCACTGACAAGGCGCGCGCATTCGGGCGTGACGCGCTCCCCCCCTTCGCGTTGGCTCCTTCAGCGTCGTTCGCGCGGACGAAAGAGGGTCCTGCTGATGTGGCCGTGCGAGGGGCAGCACGACTGGTCTCAGCGAGAGGGGACGCAGTCGCGGTCGCATGCTCAGCAGTCGCAGTCACAGTCTCAGTCTCAGTCTCAGTCGTATTCGCATTCGCAGTCGCAGTCGCAGTCGCAGTCGCTGTCGCAATCGTCGCCAGAGTGGGGGGAGTCTCAGCTATCGGAGGCCCTCCGGGGGTTGCGGTCTGACGGCGCCGCCCAGACAGCCGCGACTTGCGCTTGCCGCCGATCATCTCGGGGGTTTCCGGGTCGTCCGAGGGATGCGGCGATGCGAGGAGGAGTTTCGACACCTCGCTGCGAAGCGCGGCCTCGCCGGCGTCACTGTCGTCGCCCTCGCCGTCCGCGTTCTCCGCGCTGTCCACGCCGAATACGCTGTCGTCACTGTTGTCGCCGGCACCGTGCAACGGCGTCATTGTCGTCAGCGAGTCACAGTCCTCACCGCCGTCGTCATTGTCGCTTCCATGCAGTATCAGATCTAACGTCCAGCCTCGAACAGCTTCAGGAATCTCGTCAGGTTCCGCCGCAGGTGTTGCTTCAGGTGCCAGCGCATGTGTAGCCACAGGTCTTGCCGCAGGTTGCGCACACTCTGAAGACGACCCAGGTAACGCAGGTGTCGCAGGCGTCACAGGTGTCGCAGGCGTCACAGGTAGCGAGGTAGGCACTTTGCTGCTAGTGGGCGAGGAAGTTACACTAAGCTGATTGGACGTGTCATTAGTGACGTCAGACAGAGCCGATCGTGGGATTCGAACAGTCTGTCGACTAGCAGTAGTACGGCAAATAGTAGCCATGGCGGCCAGAACCGTGCGAACGAATCGCACGATCAATGCCTTTTAGAAGGGACCGAGATCGATAAGAACAAGAAAATAAATAACGACAAGGGTGATCTTCGCTTCTAATTCTATCACTGGAAGCCTGTAAAAAGAGCTAACGACGAGCGTGTTCTGGTGCTGAATTACTAGAACGAGCTGCTAGGAAATGTATGGACGAATATGCGATGATCCGACTGTTGGACTAAGAAAAACGAGAGAATGAGAGAATATGTTGGCCTTTCCGGGATGAGAGAATGAGGAGCCCTGGGAGAAACGAGTCAAGAGTCCCAAGACGCTCCAAGTCGAAGAGGATATAAGCTGTGAAAGTACGCTTGTTTGCCTTGACGACTCATCAAGCAGCGGAGCAGCGGAGCTGTGCCTAGAGATTAAGAGGCAAAGAAGGTTGGATTCGACGGATGGAAGGGTGGCCAGGTGCGTCTCTCACTGCACGATGTCCAAGACCATTGGATCGACGGCTAGATATGTGTGTTTGTCTGAAGTCAGTTTCAGGAATTGCCGCCAAGCCCTTTGAACCGAATTTTGAACCCCTTGCTTGGCGGCAGCGGCTCGCGCCTCGGTTGAACAAATGGAATGCTGCATGAGCTCGTTTTGAGAGATCCATGACCAGGCCTGTCGATTGACGGGCATATGCCCTTAATGCCCTGAAATTCCGGGTTACTTTCGCTCCAGCTCGACTGCATAAAGTGTTAGGATCGCATTGCACCCGTGCCACTAAGTGCCTCGTCAGACCCTTCCCCGGACGCGTTAAGTTCTCCAATCAGGCCTTCCCCACCCACTAAGTTTTGGTTTCCGGTTGTAGGCCCCCCCCCCCGAATTCTGCCTTCCCACCCCCACCCCCCCCCCCCCCCCCCCCCCCCCCACCCACCCCCCCGAGAGCGCGCCAACGGGATTTTTCCCTTAGCGTTTTCGAGCCAATCCCGTCCGTATCTGTAAAGTGGCTGAGACACACATGGAGCACTCGAACTTTCCCTTAGCGTCCAAGCCAATACTAGCTGGCCGCATGTTACAGTTGGGAGGACACATAGGATTAGCGTGCCTGAATTTGGCTAAGTTGATTGGCCACAAAGAACTCCAGCCAATCCAACTCCAACACACTAACACCATGCACGTCAAAGCAATAGAGGCACTCCAGCGTAGCAAGTTAGCCAAGCAACGTCTCTCTCCACTCCACCCTCGTGCCATGTTTCCTCTCAACCATCCAATCACCACCACCACCCAGAGAGCTCTCTCCACCTTCGTTCGTGCCATGGCCCTGGCCCATGGTACCTCTCCTCCTCCACCCATGGCGCAAGCTGGAGCTCAAGGGAATGGATGAGAGCGGCCGTCCCGCGACTGCCACTGTCGAGCTTCACGAGGACGCCATCGTCGTCCGCGGTGGCGGTGGCGGTGGCGGTGACGGTGACGGAGAAGGTGACGGTGACGGTGACGGTGACGGTGACAGAGAAGGTGACGGTGACGGTGGGGGATGCGACTTGGATTCCTGCGTGGACCTGGCCAGGCGGTTCGCTCAGCGCCTGATCAAGGCACTGGGGAAAAGGATGGCAGACCTGCGCCATTTTGATGGTGTGGGCTTTTTCAGCCCTGATCGTTATCCCGTACGTGCAGGAGAGCAGGACGCATGGCTGAAATTCCATCTGTCAGAGCTCCTTGACATGTTCAAGAATCAGCTCCCTGGTAAGTTCCAAACGTATACTAGCAAACCATTCTTCAGCGCCCACTATATTTGTTCTAACCTTGCATCCTGATTTTGGCAGGAGTCGATATTGCTGACATTGAGCCGCAGATGCGCCTCTTCACCGCAGCCATGGAAAAAAAGTTCAAGAAGCAGAGCTTTCATCAGGCTCTCACCAACATGCTGCGCACGGCAGACTGGAGAGACGACTACCCCACCATCGTCTCTCTCTGGCGTGCAGTTTCTGTGTTGCCCCTCAGCACTGTTGAGTGCGAGAGGGGCTTCTCTAGGCAAAACATAATTAAGTCGTGGGACCGTGTAGCTCTTACAGATGTGAGGCTGGGGGAGCTGATGACGGTGAAAATGCTGGACTACCCAGTGGACTGGGCGGAGGCCTATGCCATTTTTGAGGCGAAGGGGAGGAAGGGGAGGAAGCCTGCCAAATAGGCTCGCAATGCATGTCGGGTTAGAGTAGAGTAGCTGAGCTTTGCACGCCATATCTGTAGTTAGTGTAGAGAATAAGAACATTGCAGGCTAGGTAGGTTTTGTGACTATTTAAGCCATGTGTAGTGTCAGGTGTCTTTGACTTCTAATTTAAGTAGATAACTGCACTTGTCATAGTGTAAAGAAGTGTAAGGGCAAACTTCAGACATGCCCTGATTTCAAGTTCTGACTTTGGGGTGTGCCCGTGACCCTTAAGGGCGCCAAATCAATCACCTTCCCCCAACCAAGGGTCAGATTGGGAGGAGCTGGGGAGCGCAAGTTCGAGCCCCAGGGACTTCGACAGGCTTGTCCATGACTCGTTAGTGCATTTTATATGCAGTTTAGTAGGCAAATGGTAAGCGATAAATTACGTCGATACAGATCATGCTAATTTTATTATGAAAATGAAACAATTTGAAATAAATTATAGATAGATTCGAAATTAAAAAACATAATATATATTTATTAATATGATTGTTTGAAGAAGGCTTTGGGAATACAGATAGTGGATATTGCTATTTGCATTCAGCATTGTTACATCTGTTTTCGATGCCAGCATGGTCAGGGTTACTGCCACGCGAGCACGCGCCTTCTGATCCATAGCGTGTGGCTGGATTTCGGGGCTACCACGCCAGCGTGGCTCGGCGCTGGGCATGTGTGTGGAACTCAGAATAGTTCGCACCATGTGGTGTCAGTCAGCAATTCGCCCCTGAACCCATCTCACCTGCCAAAAATTACCAGGGAGTTGCCCGTCAAAATGTACATTTCTTCGCTGGAGCGAACCACCTACCCATTCGAGACGACACATACCGTACTTCTGCTTCACTGCCCGTTTGCCGAAAGCAGCCCGCAGAAACAGCCGACGAAACAAAATTCGCATGTGAGAGAAAGCCCAGCCGAATTCCAGTTGGCCTGCTGTACATTGGAAAAAAGTCCACGTGTTCCAACACCTCTGATCTGACCCGACCCTGTGTTCCAGTGTATCACCTAAATGTTTCCATTGCATCCCTTCTCATCCTATTTCATTCTATCTGAGCCGATTCGGATCCCTCGGAAACACCTGTGGATTCCTCCTCCCTCGTCCTCCTGCCTTGACCACCTATGATCCATCGCGCGCGGGCACCCACTTGCTGAACGAATGACTCCGCCATCCCTGACCATTTTGCCTTATTATCCAGGAACATTTCCTCTGTTCATGTCCTAGCCTGCCCTGTGCCCGTCCCTTCTCTGTGGGCTCGGCATTTTTCCAACTCGTCAACTGCCGGCACGTCTCCTTGGGTCGCCTAATCCAGGGACAATGGAGGCTCTTACGAAGACTTTTGTCCGTCCGCCGCTATGCGCCTCGGCGTCGCTTACCGGCCTGCCGTCAGTCGCCGTTAAATCGTCCGCTCGCGGCGGGTCTTCGTCTTCGTTCCCGTCAGTCTCGAAGGCGGCAACTTCGGCCGCAAACCGCACCGTCAGGACTTTCGCGCTTCCAAACGATGATGACGTCATCGCCTTAAATTCCGGAAAAAGTCTGGAGGAGCTCGAGGAGACGATTCGCCGCATCGCGGAGGAAAACGAGCAGCTCCGAGCTCGAGCCGCGGCCGCCGCGGCCAATGCGCGCCGCGCTGAGTCCGCTTTTAAAGGAGATGTCGACGTTTCAAGGCCGCGCATGGGGGCCGTGCCGCCGCCGCCTCCGCCGGAGTTCGCGGCGGCGCCTGTGGTCGAGTATCTGGATACGACTCTAGGGGGGGTGCCTACAGAGGAGGTTGCTTCAGTCGAAGCTAAATACCTCGTCGAAGGTGCGTTGCGAGTGTTATTACGAGCAATCCGAAGAGCTTACGGAAACGTTGGTCGTGGTAGTCTTGGTGCTGGTTGTTATGTTGGTTGTTACCGTTCGCTAAGAGGAGCTGATTACCTCGTCAAAAGTTTGTTGCTTCATGTTAAAGGCTTAAGGAAACAATGGCCGTGGTAGTGCTGGTGCTGGTTGCTGTGCTGGTGATGGTGGTTGGCTTGTAACGATTCCAGGAGTCAGCGAAATGAGCGTGGTATTCGTTGTTGTGTTGGCGGTTAGCGCTCTCGCGTGTGATTGTAAACCGCGTGGTTTGTGACTGTAATGGTGGCTGGAGGTGGCAGTCAGAAAAGGCACTGTTGAGTGTGTGCATAAGTACGAGCTTTCCCGCCCCCGCTTCTCTCCCCGCGCTTCTCTCCCCGTCCTTCTCCCCGACTGCAGAGGCAGGGAGCGTGAGGAGCTGGCAGGAGGCGGTGGAACAAGAGGCCGCCACGTCAGCAGCGGCGGATGGGAACCTCGAGATTGCCGCAGCAGGCGGGATCGAGGATATTCAGAAGACGGAGAACCCCATGAGGTGCGGTGGGAAGGCGTGGGGTGCGGTGAGAAGACGTGGGGTGCGATGAGAACGCTAATGTGTCCTTAAAGTCGACTCAAAAGCTGCCTTGACTCCAGCTACGTTTTCCCCTCCCTCATCATTCTTCTCTCCCCTCCCTTCCCTTCCACCCCCAGCATTGTGTTCGTGGCATCCGAGGTGGCCCCTTGTTCCAACACAGGTGGGCTGGCGGACGCAGTGGGGTCGCTGCCGGTGGTCCATTCCCTCCCTCATATCACAGCCTGTCTTCCATTCCCTCCCTCATATCACAGCCTGTCTTCCTCCCTCCCACCCCTCATCCCTCCACCAGCATTGTGTTCGTGGCGTCAGAGGTGGCCCCCTGCTCCAAAACCGGCGGCCTGGCGGACGCGGTGGGGTCGCTGCCAGTGCTCCATGTCCCCTCATATCCCCGTTTCCCCTGTGTTCCCTCCACCCCTCCCCCCTCTTCCCCACCTCAACCACCACCAGCATTGTGTTCGTGGCATCCGAGGTGGCCCCTTACTCGAAAACCGGAGGCCTGGCGGACGTGGTGGGGTCGCTGCCGGTGGCGCTGGCGGCGAGGGGGCACCGCGTGATGGTGGTGGCGCCGCGCTACATGAACGGCGTCACGGACAAGCTCTATGCTGGCGCGTTTGACATGCAGGTGGGGGGTGTTGGTGGTGTGCAGGTTAGGGCATAGAGTGGCACACAGGTCACACATAGCTGATACATGGGTGGCCCAGAGGTGGGTAGAGAGGGTGAGCTGGCAGCGAGGGGGCACCGAGTGATGGTGGTGGCGCCGCGCTACATGGACGGCGTCACGGACAAGCTCTATGCTGGCGCGTTTGACATGCAGGTGCGCGCATAGAGTGGCACACAGGTCGCACACAGGTGACACAGACAGAGGTGGGTAGGGGTGGTGCGCTGGCAGCGAGGGGGCACCGAGTGATGGTGGTGGCGCCGCGATACATGGACGGCGTGACTGACAAGCTATTCGCGGGGGCCTTTGACATGCAGGTGGGGGGGGGGGATATAGTGGCGCATACGGTGACACAGGGTAGGTGCGTACACAGGGAGGGACCATGTGCTGGCAGCGAAGGGGCACCGCGTGATGGTGGTGGCGCCGCGCTACATGAACGGTCTTACAGACAAGCTCTATGCGGGCGCGTTTGACATGCAGGTGGGGGTGTTGATGTGAGGGTTTGGGTTTTCTCTGGCACATAGTTGACACAAGGGTGGCATACAGGTGGGTAGGGATGGTGCGCTGGCAGCGAGGGGGCAGCGAATGATGGTGGTGCGAGGGGGCAGCGAGTGATGGTGGTGCGAGGGGGCAGCGAGTGATGGTGGTGGCGCCTCGATACATGAACGGTGTCACTGACAAGCTCTATGCAGGGGCGTTTGACATGCACGTGGGGGGGGGGGTTGACATGCAGGGAGGATGCTCCACCCCTCATCTGCCGTTCCTGCAATCCCAACCTTCATGCTGCTGCCAGATAAATAGGATTGCCAATCTTTTCCCATTCACGCCAAACAGGTGCCAAATGATCCCTTCCCTTCTTCCCCCATTCTCCCCTCTCTCGCCCAACCCACACTGCACTGCAGAGCCACATTCTTGCACCGCCTCAGATCTGTTTCTGCCGCTTTCTTCCCCCTTTCTTCACTGTGTTTCGTTTACCCCGTGTTACCCCTCCTCACCTCTCCATGTGTGCATGAGCGCAGTGTCGCATCAAGTGCTTCTGCTTTGAGGGCGCTCACGAGGTGGCGTTCTTCCACGAATTCAGAGACGGCGTTGACTTTGTGAGACCTGACCTGCGTTGACCCGGTTGACTGACTGCCTCTCCTCTTTCAAACACCACCTTCCGTTTCTCCCCCACGCCTTGCAAGTTGCACGTTGCACATTGGCACATGACTTTTGAGTCGACTCAAAAGTCACCTTGCAAGTTGAACGTTGACACATACTTCTCTTTCTTGCTCATTGCAAGGTTAGATACAGTCCTCCCCAAACTCCCTTCCGCCCCACTCACTCACTAATCCCCTCCCCTTCCCCTTGCCCTCTTTCCCGTCTCCCGTTCCTCTCTCCCTCACACTTCCCCCACTTTCTGTTTCTATCTCCCTCCCTCCGCCCTCTCTCCCGCAGCTTCACCCCCTCTCTCTCCCTGCTCCTCTGAGTCAGCCCTTTCTCCCCGCCCTAACACCTTGCCTTCCCACCTCGCTCGCTCCCTCCCTCCCTCTTGCTCACTTCCCCCTTCCCCCCTTCCCCCCTTCCCCCCTTTCCCCCTTTCCCCCTTTCCCTTTCCTTTCCCTTTCCCTTGGCCATCCATCTGACCACCTTCCTTGGCCATCCATCTGACCACCTTCCTTGGCCATCCATCTGACCACCTTCCTGGTTTTGAGGCGCCTCGAAAGTGTTCTCACCCACCTCGCCACCTCCCTCCCACCCTCCCCGCCCCCCAACTCAGGTATTTGTCGACCATCCATCGTACCACCGTCCCGGCACGCCCTATGGGGACCAGAACGGCACATTTGGAGACAACCAGGTGGGTGGGTGAGAGAGGGTGCTGCAATGGCACGTGGTTGGGTTGGGGCAAGGAAATTGTACTTACTAAACTGGAAGATAGTTCTTTGTAGGTTTCTCTCCACCATTTTAACCCCAAACTCGGAAACTCGAAACGCTACCCTCCACCTCTATTTTCTCTCCTTTCCTCACCCGCTTTCCTTACCCGATTCCCACTCTCGCGACCCGTCAGTAGCGCTTTTCTTCGCCATGTCATGCTGCCTGTTAGGTGCCCGTGCAGCTGAAGCTGGGGGGGGGGTCACTACGGGTAGAGAATGCTGCCTTCCTTTATTCCACACTTCCTCTCTCTCTCCACCCCCTTGGCCACTCTCACTCTCCTCCCCCTCCCACGTCAGTTCCGCTTCACGCTGCTGTGCCATGCGGCCTGCGAGGCTCCGCTACAGCTGGAGCTGGGCGGCTTTACCTATGGGGAGAAGGTCTTATTCATTGCCAATGACTGGCACGCGGGGCTGCTGCCCGTGTGAGTAAAGAAGGGGGGGGGGGGGGGGGGGAGGTGGCGAGTGTCTGGTGCAGTCGCGAGGATTCACGTTTGGGGAGAAGGTTCTATTCATTGTCAACGACTAGCACGCGGGGCTGCTGCCCGTGTGAGTGGGGGGAGGGAGAGGTAGGGGAAAGGGGAGGCCAGGAGGGGTTGAAGGGACAGCTGTAGCTGGGCGGGTTCACGTACGGGGAGAAGGTGCTGCTCATTGCCAACGACTGGCTCGCAGGACTGCTGCCCGTGTGAGTAAAGAGCGGCAAGGCGAGGCGAGTGATGGTGCGAGTGTGACGAGGGGAACGGATGAGGGAAGAGAGGGCAGTGATGTGATGAGTGAGAGCAGCTGTGCGGTTTCACAGCACACGGAGAGGGGGTCTTGTGTTCCTGTGTTGTGTTCCTGTGTTGTGTTCCTGTGTTGTGTTCCTGTGTTGTGTTCCTGTCTTGTGTTCCTGTCTTGTGTTCCTGTGTTGTGTTCATCACCTGACCGCCAAGCTGGGCGGGCTGGCCGGTGCCCTTTTGAGCATATAACAGCCCTGTCATATAACAGATCCCAAAACCGATCTCAATATAACAGGGCTGCTGCCCTGTCGCGTCTCTCACATCAGTTCCATGACATCCGGCTAACCCCCCCGCAATGGCAAACAAGCAAGGTCGCACCACCCCTGACCTGACCCCCTACCTGATCTCTCTCCTCAGCGTCTTCCCTCCTCCTTCTCTCCTTTTCATAAGTCCCATGGCATCCAACCAACCAAACGCCCCCACGGCATGCACAAGCACAAGCGCTCCCTCTTTCTCTCGCAGCCTCCCTTGCGGCTTTCTCTCTTCCCCCCTCCCTCTGTACCCTCCCCTCTCTCCTTTACCCCATCAGCCCCGTTGCCTCCAACAATCGCCCCCATGGTGTTCTAAGGATGCTCACTCGTGCCATCGTGTTTTCTCTCGACCTCCCTTGAGCTCTGCCCTCCCGTTCCCTTTCTTGCTGCCCTCTCTGACAACCCTTCTCATTGCTCCCCCATCAGTCTGGTCGCGTCCAACTACCGTCCCCACGGAGTGTACAAGGATGCTCGCACCATCCTTGCCATCCACAACCTCTCCCACCAGGTGAGGACAAACCTTGCCATCCATAGAATCGCACCAGGTGAGGACAAACGTTGCCGTCCACATTTACGCACTAGGTGAGGATAAACCCTGCGATGCCCAGCCTATTCCGCTCAGTACGGACAAAGCTTGCCATCCACCACCTCTTACACCAGGTACAACATGTTGTATCCATCTGCCTCCCCAACTCCCGCTTCTTCTCCATCCCCCACTCGCTCCCTCTCCTCCACCCCTCTGCTTCCTCCCTCCAGTTCTCTTTTCCATTTTCCCCCACTCCACCACAGGGCGTGGAGCCAGCCAGGCTGCACGTTCGGCAGCCTGGGAGTGCCTGATGACTGGTACGGTGCGGTGCGGTGTGGTGGAGTGGGTGTTCCCCGACTGGTACGGTGCGGTGGGGTGGTACCAACCACCCTCCCTCTTCCTTCCCCTTTCCCATGGTTCTTCCCCCCTGTCCCCCTCCCCCACTCCACCTCAGGGCGTGGAGCCAGGCTGCACGTTCGGCAGCCTGGCCATGCCTGGCGACTGGTACGGTGCGGTGCGGTGGAGTGGGTGTTCCCCGACTGGGCGCGCAAGCAGCCTACCTTTCCTTTACCCTTTCCCGTGCTTTCTCTTCCCTCTCGTTCCTTCACATGACAGGGCGTGGAGCCGGGCCACACGTTCGGTGGTCTCGGGAGTGCCGGGTGACTGGTACGGCGCTCTAGAGTGGGTGTTAACTTAGTGGGCGCGGAAGCACCCTCCTCTACTCTCCGCTTTCCCTTGATAGCCGCTCCCTCTCACTCTCCCACACCACAGGGCGTGGAGCCAGGCTACACGTTTGGCAGTCTCGGCGTGCCGGGCGACTGGTACGGGGCGCTCGAGTGGGTGTTCCCGGAGTGGGCACGCAAGCACGAGCTGGACAAGGGCGAGGCGGTGAACATCCTCAAGGGGGCGATTGTCACTGCCGACAGGATCGTCACAGTCAGCCCGGTATGTGTGTGCTGTGGCTTGCACAGCATGTAAGTGAGGGCTCATGGTGCTGCGTGGGGCATTTGAACTGTACACGCATGGTGGCATGGCAAGGCAAGCACGAGTTGGACAAGGGCGAGGCGGTGAACATCCTCAAGGGGGCGATTGTGACCGCTGACAGGATCGTCACAGTCAGCCCGGTAAGCTGGTTGGCGATGTGGTGTGGTGTGGTGCAGTGCAGTGTGGTGTGTTTTGCTGCGGTGTGTTTTGCTGTGGTGTGTTTTGCTGTGGTGTGTTTTGCTGTGGTGTGTTTTGCTGTGGTGTGTTATGCTGCGGTGTGTGGCCGTGAGCTCTCCGTATGCTGCTCTGTCCGCACTGTCCTTGTCTCACGGTGCCAAGGCAAGCACGGGTTGGACAAGGGCGAGGCGGTGAACATTCTAGAATGGGATATGTGTGTGCGTCAGGATCGTCACAGTCAGCTGTCAGGATCGTCACAGTCAGCTCGGTATGTGTGTGCGTTTGCGTGCATGTGTGTGTGTGTGTATGTGTGTGTGTGTGTGTGCATGTGTGTGTATGTGTGTGTATGTGTGTGCATGTGTGTGTATGTGTGTGCATGTGTGTGCATGTGTGTGTATGTGTGTGCATGTGTGTGCATGTGTGTGTATGTGTGTGTATGTGTGTGCATGTGTGTGCATGTGTGTGCATGTGTGTGTATGTGTGTGTATGTGTGTGCATGTGTGTGTATGTGTGTGTATGTGTGTGCATGTGTGTGCATGTGTGTGTATGTGTGTGCATGTGTGTGCATGTGCTGCTGCTGCTGTGCGGGATACAAGACGTCACCTCTTGACCCTGACCCACTCACCCCGTCCCCCTCCCACTCCCTCCCCCTTCCTTTCCCACCCTCTTCCCCCGCGCTGCAGGGGTACGCCTGGGAGATGGCTACAGTGAAGGGTGGGTGGGTGGGGTCACACACACACGTGAAAGAAGGAGTGTTTTGAGACGTCTCAAATCGCTACAGTGAAGGGTGGGTGGGGTCACACACGTCTCAAATCGCTACAGTGAAGGGTGGGTGGGTGGGGTCACACACACACGCCCTCTACCCTTCCCCCCCTCACCCCGTCCCCCTCCCCCTCCCTCTCCCTCTCCCTCCCCCACCGCGCTCCAGGGCTACGCCTGGGAGATAGCTACAGTGGAGGGCGGGTGGGGACCACACCTCCTCGCCAATTCAACCACTCACCTTCGTCCCTCCCCGCTCTTCCCCTCGTCCCTCCCCCTGCACACGCTGCAGGGCTACGCCTGGGAGATCACGACAGTGGAGGGCGGGTGGGGGCTGGATGGGCTGCTCCGGGGGCGAAGCTTCGTGCTCAACGGTAGGAAGCTTCATATGTGTTCAATTCAATCAACAGAGACTGCTACGAGGTGAATTGGCGTAGGGCACGTTCTCTCCCCTCCGCATGCCTCCCTCCGAGCTGGTTTTTGAGAATTCTCAAAACAGCCTGCAGGGACCGGTGGATGCCTGGAGGGAGAATTCTCAAAAACCAGCTCGTGGGGCACGTTCTCTCCCGTTCTCTCCCGTTCTCTCCCGTTCTCTCCCGTTCTCTCCCCTCCCCATGCCTCTTGAGTCGACTCAAAAGTCACCTCATTACAATGGCACATGAATTGGCATGGGGCACGTTCTCTCCCCTCATAGCGGAGAAAACCCCTCCACGTTCTCTCCCCTCATAGCGGAGAAAAACCCTCCACGTTCTCTCCCCTCCCCATGCCTCCCTCCTCTGTCTGTATGCATGCACACGCCTCCTTCTTCCCCCCTCCCCCCCGTCCCTGCCACTTATGGTCCCTCCGTGCATCCCTCTTTACTTTACCTGCCCCACTCGCTGTGTCGTGCTCTCCTCTCCTCCATGCATCCACGCGCCCACCCACTCCACCCACCCACCCACCTACTCACCCGCACGCCCCCTTGCTGCCATGCAGGTGTGTGACCAGCGGAGTGGGTGTGGTGGATTGGAGCCCTGCCACGGACAAGCACACAGCAAGCACACCGTTGATAGGCATAACCCCCCACCTTCAGTGGAGCACTAGTCACAGGCCACCCCTGCGTGCCTCTTTGCACTCTCGTTCTCCATGCAGGTGTGTGACCAACGGAGTGGATGTGGTGGACGGGAACCCTGCCTGCCATGGACAAGCCTGCAGTGCGGCAGATAGCTCAGGCTCCCCATTTGACCCTTGAGGACTTTCCGCCCTGCCCCTTGCCCCGCTGCAGGTGTGACCAACGGAGTGGACGTGGTGGACGGGAACCCTGCCTGCCACGGACAAGCACACAGCAAGCACACCGTTGATAGGCATAACCCCCCACCTTCAGTGGAGCACTAGTCACAGGCCACCCCTGCGTGCCTCTTTGCACTCTCGTTCTCCATGCAGGTGTGTGACCAACGGAGTGGATGTGGTGGACGGGAACCCTGCCTGCCATGGACAAGCCTGCAGTGCGGCAGATAGCTCAGGCTCCCCATTTGACCCTTGAGGACTTTCCGCCCTGCCCCTTGCCCCGCTGCAGGTGTGACCAACGGAGTGGACGTGGTGGACGGGAACCCTGCCTGCCACGGACAAGCACACAGCAAGCACACCGTTGATAGGCATAACCCCCCACCTTCAGTGGAGCACTAGTCACAGGCCACCCCTGCGTGCCTCTTTGCACTCTCGTTCTCCATGCAGGTGTGTGACCAACGGAGTGGATGTGGTGGACGGGAACCCTGCCTGCCATGGACAAGCCTGCAGTGCGGCAGATAGCTCAGGCTCCCCATTTGACCCTTGAGGACTTTCCGCCCTGCCCCTTGCCCCGCTGCAGGTGTGACCAACGGAGTGGACGTGGTGGACGGGAACCCTGCCTGCCACGGACAAGCCTGCAGTGAAGCACCCCGCCCGCCCCTTTTGAGCCCCCCCCTTGCTGTGTATGTATGCGTGCAGGTGTGACCAACGGAGTGGACGTGGTGGACTGGAACCCTGCCACGGACAAGCACATTCCCTCGCAGTACACCGCTGCTGACATGGCTGGCAAGGTGGGATGGGGTGGAAGGAGGGCAAGTGGGATTAGACCTTGGGCGTACAGGGATAGTTTGGCATTTTCAAACTCCGCCACAGACAAGCACATTCCCTCGCAGTACACTGCTGCTGACATGGCTGGCAAGGTGGGATGGTGTGGAAAGTGATGGGGGGGGGAGGGAGGTGGGCAAGTGGGATTGGATGTGCTGGGATGGTTTAGAATGCACCCCACTGCACCCCACTGCGCCCCACTCATGCATCCTTCCTTCCGTGCTTCCAAGTGTGTTTATGTTTATGTTACCTTTGAGAGCTCTTGAAGCTCATTCAATTCAAGTGCACCCCTCCCTGGATTGTGTCCATCCAAGCCTGCGACCTTTGAGACGTCTCAAAAGCCTCCCTGGATTGTGTCCATCCAAGCCTGCGACCTTTGAGACGTCTCAAAAGCCTCCCTGGATTGTGTCCATCCAAGCCTGCGACCTTTGAGACGTCTCAAAAGCCTCCCTGGATTGTGCCCATCCAAGCCTGCGTAAACCGTTGGCTCACACATCACATCACAACAACTACTCTTCCCCTGTTCCCTCCCCCCCCCCCTCTTTCCCCCTCCCCCTTTCCTTCTCCCCCCTTCCCTCTCCCCCCTTCCCTCTCCCCCCTTCCCTCTCTCCCCTTCCCTCTCCCCCCTTCCCTCTCTCCCCCTTCCCTCTCCCTCCTTCCCTCTCTCCCCCTTCCCACTCTGGTCTGGAGCCATATCAGGCAGCATGCAAGGCAGCACTGCAGCAGGAGCTGGGTCTCCCTGTCCGACCAGACGTGCCTCTGGTGAGACACACGCGCCACTGGCGAGGTTCCTGAGCTTTTCAGTGGGTGGGTGGGCTGGACCAGACGTGCCTCTGGTGGGACACACGAGCCAAGGTGCCGGGTCAAGTCAGTGGGTGGGCTCTGGTGGTAGTGGGTGGGAGTGGGTGGAAGTGGGTGGGGCTGTTTGGTTGGCAGATAGACAAGCCACCTGTGGCACCTGTGGCAGAACTCGTCTCCACTTTGCCTCATTTCCCCCATGGCAGATCGGCTTCATCGGGCGTTTGGACTGGCAAAAGGGCCCTGACGTTATTCAAGCAGGAGTGCCGGAGCTTATGACTGACGACGTGCAGTTTGTGAGTGGAGGGGATGGGAAGGGGGGCTTTACTGTAGCGCGGATGGGATTGACAGTTTTGCTTTTTGAGACGTCTCAAAAGTCTTCCTTGAAGGGCCTCAAGAATTGCTTCAAGCGGGAGTGCCGGAGCTTAGGACTGACGACGTGCAGTTTGTGAGTGGCGGGGGGAAGAAGTGGGAGGGGGGGGAGGAAAGAGTACAACAGGGGGGGCACTTCTTTAGGCGCCTCACAAGAAGATACTACAAGCGGGAGTGCCGGAGCTTTAAGCTTAGGACTGACGACGTGCAATTTGTGAGTGGAGGGAATGGGAAGGGGGGCTTTACTGTAGCGTGGATGGGATTGACAGTTTTGCTTTCTTCCTTGAAGAGCCTCAAGAATTGCTTCAAGCGGGAGTGCCAGAGCTTATGACTGACGACGTGCAGTTTGTGAGTGGAGGCTTGGGGAGGAAATGATAGCGGGGATACGGTTGGCAGGGTGAGGATGTTTGCTGGGTAGCAGTTGCGGGAATAGGGCTGGCAATTCTTGAGGCACTTAAAATATCGGTGCAAGTGGTGGTGCTTGGATTGGAGCTCGTGACATTTTCTGAGAATTCTTAAAAACCAGATTGTTGCAAGTGGGGTTTTGTTTTGAGGCGCCTCAATACGAGCTGGTTTTTGTGAATTATCAACACCCAGACTGTTGCAAGTGGGGGTGCTTGGAGCTCTTGACAGATGATGATGATAATGATGTGCACTTAGTGAGTGTTGGGGGGTGGGTGGGAGGGGGCAGGAGCTTTTCTTATAGCGGGAATGGAATTGTATGTATATGAACCCATCCTCGACTCTAGGATTGCGAGTGCCGGAGCTCATGAATGCCTCGATGATAAATGCAGTTGAGATGTCCAGTTCGGGCGCCACCTGTATAGAGGGTATTTTTGAGACGTCTCAATTTTTGAGTCGACTCATAAAAAGTATTTTTGAGACGTCTCAAACGCCTCAAAAATACTCTCTACACACATGATAAATGCAGTTGAGATGCCCAGTTCGGGTGCCGCCTCAAACGCAGACCATGCTGGGCAGGGGAGATGCGGGGTAGGGCGAGTATCGACCTCCCCCCTGCATACCCCCCTCTTGTCCCCCTGAATCCACACCCTCACTTGCTCTCCTTCCCCCCATACCTCTCACTAAAGCTCTTTTCCTTTCCATGCATTCCTCCCGCTATCCTGCAGATCATGCTGGGGAGTGGCGATGCGGAGTACGAGTCGTGGATGGCATGGGCGGAGGGCGAGTATCGACCTGCCCCTTGCATGCATATGCCCTCCTACCAAACCTCTTCCTCCCACCCTTCCTCCCACTATCCTGCAGATCATGCTAGGGAGTGGCGATGCGGAGTACGAGTCATGGATGGCGTGGGCGGAGGGCGAGTATCGGGACAAGTTCCGCGGCTGGGTGGGCTTCTCGGTGCCTGTGGCACACAGGATGACTGCTGGGTGAGTGAGACTGCAGGGCTGGGATTGGGTAGATGTGGAATAGGTAGGCAGCACTGCGCAGTGGGGCTGGGTGGACTTCTCGGTGCCCGTGGCGCATAGGATGACGGCGGGGTGAGTGAGCAGGGAGGGATGGGTGAGAGAGAGCACGGAGGGTTGATCACGCACAGGATGTCCGCTGAGTGTGAGTTTTCTTTTCTTTCATCCCTTTGAATCCATCACCCTCTCATACTGTTCCCTTTGCCCTTCACCGTACCTCCCCTCACCGTGCCTCCCCCATCATCCCCCTTGCTATTCTGTCCCCACAGCTGCGACATTCTGCTCATGCCATCGCGATTCGAGCCGTGTGGGCTGAACCAGCTGTACGCCATGCGATACGGCACCATCCCCGTCGTGCACGCCACTGGCGGGCTGCGGGTGAGTGGCAGACATGAAGGGGCTGAAGGGTGAGTGGGAGATAAGGGAGGGAGGGAGGGAGGGAGGGAGGGAGGGAGGGAGGGAGGGAGGGAGGGAGGGAGGGAGGGAGGGAGGGAGGGAGGGAGGGAGGGAGGGAGGGAGGGAGGGAGGGAGGGAGGGAGGGAGGGAGGGAGGGAGGGAGGGAGGGAGGGAGGGAGGGAGGGAGGGAGGGGAGGGAGGGAGGGAGGGAGGGAGGGAGGGAGGGAGGGAGGGAGGGAGGGAGGGAGGGAGGGAGGGAGGAGGGAGGGAGGGAGGGAGGGAGGGAGGGAGGGAGGGAGGGAGGGAGGGAGGGAGGGAGGGAGGGAGGGAGGGAGGGAGGGAGGGAGGGAGGGAGGGAGGGAGGGAGGGAGGGAGGGAGGGAGGGAGGGAGGGAGGGAGGGAGGGAGGAGGGAGGGAGGGAGGGAGGGAGGGAGGGAGGGAGGGAGGGAGGGAGGGAGGGAGGGAGGGAGGGAGGGAGGGAGGGAGGGAGGGAGGGAGGGAGGGAGGGAGGGAGGGAGGGAGGGAGGGAGGGAGGGAGGGAGGGAGGGAGGGAGGGAGGGAGGGAGGGAGGGAGGGAGGGAGGGAGGGAGGAGGGAGGGAGGGAGGGAGGGAGGGAGGGAGGGAGGGAGGGAGGGAGGGAGGGAGGGAGGGAGGGAGGGAGGGAGGGAGGGAGGGAGGGAGGGAGGGAGGGAGGAGGGAGGGAGGGAGGGAGGGAGGGAGGGAGGGAGGGAGGGAGGGAGGGAGGGAGGGAGGGAGGGAGGGAGGGAGGGAGGGAGGGAGGGATTGAGGGATTGAGGGAGGGAGGGATGAGGATTGAGGGATTGGAGGGAGGGAGGGAGGGAGGGAGGGAGGGAGGGAGGGAGGGAGGGAGGGAGGGAGGGAGGGAGGGAGGGAGGGAGGGAGGGAGGGAGGGAGGGAGGGAGGGAGGGAGGGAGGGAGGGAGGGAGGGAGGGAGGGAGGGAGGGAGGGAGGGAGGGAGGGAGGGAGGGAGGGAGGGAGGGACGATACAGCAGCGGCTGAACCAGCTGTATGCCATGCGATAGGGCACCATCCCCGTCGTGCACGCTACTGGCGGCTTGAGGGTGAGTGGTACAGTGAGGAGGGGTAGAAACTCAATATATGAAACAGCTGAGGGGTAGAAGGATATAGCAGCAGAGGCTGAACCAGCTGTATGCCATGCGATATGGCACCATCCCTAGAGTGCACGCCAGTGGTGGCTTGAGGTTAAGTGATGAGCGAGAGATTGAAAAGGGGGGGAAAGAAATTCTTCTTTCTTGTGCCTTCTTTCCCCGTCCCGCTCCTTGCTTCCGTCGCGACCCGTGACTCATCCCCCCGTTCAGGACTTCGACCCACTCGTCCTGTTCTCCTCTGCAACCTTGCCTTCTCCCATCTCCCGTCATCTCCCCCCTCCCCCTTCCTACCCCCCAACCCCTTCCCCCCCCCACCAACCCCCCCCAACCCCACACCTCTCCCTTTCCGACGCCTCATCTCCCTCTTTTCTCTCACCCACTCCAGGACACGGTTCAGGACTTCAACCCGTTTGCCAACGAGGGCAAGGACGACGACACGAGGAGGTGTCAAAGTGACTTTTGAGTCGACTAAGAAATGATCCCTTCCCCGTCCTTCCCCACCGCTCCCTCCCACCCCTCCCTTTCTCCCCGCCTATCTCCCACTCCCTTTCTCCCCGCCCATCTCCCACCCCTTCCATCCACCCCAGGACACGGTTCAGGACTTCAACCCGTTTGCCAACGAGGGCAAGGGCGATGGCACAGGGTGAGCAGAGGGGGGAAGGGGGGAGATACGGAAAGGGTTTCCGGTGGGGTGGGGGCCGGATAGGAAGGGTGGGTGGGACTAGAAAGGGCCGGATAGGAAGGGTGGGTGGGACTAGAAAGGGCCGGGAGGGAGGGCAGGAATGGCATGCTTCCCTTTTTTCAGGCGCCTCAAAACTAGGGCCAGGAGGGAGGGCAGGAATGGCATGCTTCCCTTTTTTGAGGCGCCTCAAAACTAGGGCCATGAGGGAGGGCAGGAATGGCATGCTTCCCTTTTTGAGGCGCCTCAAAACTAGGGCCAGGAGGGAGGGCAGGAATGGCATGCTTCCCTTTGTGAGGCGCCTCAAAACTAGGGCCAGGAGGGAGGGCAGGAATGGCATGCTTCCCTTTTTGAGGCGCCTCAAAACTAGGGCCAGGAGGGAGGGCAGGAATGGCATGCTTCCCTTTTTTGAGGCGCCTCAAAACTAGGGCCAGGAGGGAGGGCAGGAATGGCATGCTTCCCTTTTTGAGGCGCCTCAAAACTAGGGCCAGGAGGGAGGGCAGGAATGGCATGCTTCCCTTTTTGAGGCGCCTCAAAACTAGGGCCAGGAGGGAGGGCAGGAATGGCATGCTTCCCTTTGTGAGGCGCCTCAAAACTAGGGCCAGGAGGGAGGGCAGGAATGGCATGCTTCCCTTTTTGAGGCGCCTCAAAACTAGGGCCAGGAGGGAGGGCAGGAATGGCATGCTTCCCTTTTTTGAGGCGCCTCAAAACTAGGGCCATGAGGGAGGGCAGGAATGGCATGCTTCCCTTTTTGAGGCGCCTCAAAACTAGGGCCAGGAGGGAGGGCAGGAATGGCATGCTTCCTTTTTTGAGGCGCCTCAAAACTAGGGCCAGGAGGGAGGGCAGGAATGGCATGCTTCCTTTTCATTTGACAGGGAAGGGGAGGGGAGCAAGGAGAAGCGAAGATGGTTGGCTCGGGCAGGGGGGAAATGAGGGGTGGAGGGAGGCTGTACTGTACAATTGAGTGAGAGGGGTTGACGTGACATGAGGGGAAGGCCTAAGGGATGGAAGGGTTGTAAAGAGGGCAGAAACGGGTGGCTAGACGAGGCGTGGCCTCCGCTGCTTTATGCCTCCTTGCGTGTTCGTCTCTCACATGCATGGGCATTTCTCCTCACCCTTCACCCTACACCTTACACTGAATTACCTTCGCTGATCCCTTACTCGCCTGTGACGCATGTCATCCTTCTCTTGCCCCTCAGGTGGACCTTCTCACCCCTCACCAAGGAAGCCATGATGGGGGTGAGTGCGTGCATGCATGCATGCGTGCGTGCGTGCGTGTGTGAGTGCGTGCGTGCGTGCGTGTGTGTGTGTGAGTGCGTGCGTGAGTGCGTGTGTGAGTGCGTCCGTGCATGCGTGAGTGCGTCCGTGCGTGCGTGTGTGTGTGAGTGCGTGCATGCGTGCATGTGTGAGTGTGTGCGTGCGTGCGTGAGTGCGTCCGTGTGTGCGTGAGTGCGTGCGTGAGTGCGTGAGTGCGTGAGTGCGTGAGTGTGTGCGTGCGTGAGTGCGTGTGTGTCTGGTAACCAGTTGTGTCTGTCCGTCAATGGTCCTCACGAACTGTTACTGTTACTGTTACTGTTACTGCTTATCTCTTCAATATTGGCTCTTTTCTGGTTTCAAGATTTTTCTCTGACGTGCACATACGTGATATACCCCTCCGCATAGCTGAATACCCCTCTGCATACACGACTACCCCTCTGCATACACGACTACCCCTCTGCATACACGACTACCCCTCTGCATACACGACTACCCCTCTGCATACACGACTACCTCTCGGCATACATGACTACCCCTCTGCATACATGACTACCCCTCTGCATACATGACTACCCCTCTGCATACATGACTACCCCTCTGCATACATGACTACCCCTCTGCATACATGACTACCTCTCGGCATACATGACTACCCCTCTGCATACATGACTATCCCTCCGTATACCTGATTATTGCTTACATACCTTCCCACCGCTCTGCACCCATGCAGGGGCTGTGGATGGCGATTCAGACGTACAGGGAGCACAAGGACTTGTGGGCATGGGTGATGGAGAGGGGCATGCTGCTCCACGTACCCTACTACCTCTCCATATACCTTACCACCACTCCTCACCTTACCACCACTCTACACACCTTTCCACCACTCCACACCCGTGCAGGCGCTGTGGACGGCCATTCAGACGTACAGGGAGCACAAGGACTCGTGGGCGCGGGTGATGGAGCGGGGCATGCTGCAGGACATGTCGTGGAACAAGGCAGCCGAGCAGTACGAGCAGATCTTTGGCTGGGCTATGCAGGACAAGCCGTATGCTTGATATGTGAATGAAAAGAGTAGATGTACTATGTATGCGGGGAACGGGTTGACGGAATGGGAATCTTGCACATTGATTAGAACGAGCAGATATTTGGCTGGGCCATGCAGGACAAGCCCTATGCTTGGTTCAGGAAAAATATGTGTTGCTGCTGCTGGGTACACTTGCGACTCAAATGGGTTGCTGAAGTGATGGGCTTTATTCTTGTTGATTGAGACTGAAGATACATGCTGCACACAGGAGCAGTGGAGCCTCTTCCATGAATGCCTTCTTGGCCATGCCACCCATGAACCTCAACTGGAAACCTAGTGTGTTTTTAGCTGATGTCACTAGCTAGAAAACAAGATGCGATGAGCGTGGATCGAACACGCAACCTTCAGATCTTCAGTCTGACGCTCTCCCAACTGAGCTATCCCTGCAAATGTGGAGAAGTGAGGTATAGATGCACATACCTCTCGCATGCTAAGCGAGCGCTCTACCATCTGAACTACATCCCCGTTGTCCGGTGACCACGAAGTACAGATAAGTCAGCTAGTAGTTTTGCTCCTGAAACCAATGAAGTGCACAGTATCCGAACTGGTGTATAGAGTTCGGCAAACTGTTCTCGTTACTAGCGTCGAGATCTTAGATGCGCAATACACGCTCGACCGACGGCGTTGAGAGAGCCACGCGAGCGGTTCATGGCTGGGCGCATCTGGGCTCAGAACGTCAGAGGCATACGTGGGGCATCATCGAGCCAGTCGCGTGCCACCATCTGTCGTCGTGGCCCTCTCACATCTTTCCGGGATGACCCAAGCTGACATCATTTCTCATTCGAGCGATCTGCCCGTTGTCACACACTTGTACAGCTTTTAGTGCTGAACTTGGTAGCAATATTTGGCAAGGAGGCGCGAAGTCCGTGAACATATGTTTCTGAAAGTGAAAGTCGTGTGGTGGCAACAATTGGTCCAGAGTACCTTAACTCGCCGTATTATTATTTTCGTTTTCGTCTGCCCGTGAAGCTCTCACATCGTTTTTCCAACGAAGCTTCACCCTCGTCGATGTCACCACCATTCCTCCACAGCCATGACTGCCAGATGCTACACGCGCCTCGCACCGGCTGTACCATTTTCCTTGACATTGCCGCTCCCTTCATGAATTGATTGACAGTCATTCACTATCAGGTTAAGTCATTGCACTACGACATACCGGCTAAGCTGTGCGGCAGATTGTAGGTGGAATTCCAGACTGCAGTGGAACTAAGAGCCACACCCACACTTGATTTCCTTACCGAGAACGTCGTAGGCCTTACCTCATTCTCAACAATCTGAGCCTTTCGCAGTTGCCCTTCTTTTGTTTGCCTTCCGCACTTGACGCTCTCAAAATACCTCAGCTCTCATCACAACTCCGCCTCCACCTTAGTTACAGGGCGTATTTCCGTGCCCACTAGTTCAGAGCAGCGTCAATTTTCCTTGCGTCCCACAATTCACATCAGCCAGCCATGGCGACCGCCGCTGTTTCCGACCTTTCCCGCCGGGCAGTCCCCTGCACAGCCATGAGAACTCAGTCCACCTCTCGCCAGCATCTACCATCATTTTCTGGTGCGAATTTTCCTGCTGCGATCCTCGTTTTATTCTCTTCTCCGGCTGCCTTTCCGCGGCCTTATCTCGCTGTTTCGTCGTATCATCGTATGTTGACTCGCGGATTCACAAAAGAACACCCAAGCGCTTTGTTTCGTTAAAAATAGCTTCCTCATAAGTAGCCTTATTCAAGGCTGAACTTATACCCCCCTTATGATCCCCGTTTGCAGGCCCGCCTCTCGCCGCGCATACCCCTCGCCGTCATCACGCTATCGTCAGCTTCCGCCGCTCGTCCCTCGCAGGAATCGCGCGAGTGACAGTATCGAGAGCCAATCTTAGCCGCACATCCGTCACGCGACCTCTCTCGAGGCGTTTTCCGCCCTCGATTCGCGCCTTCACAAACCAATCGGACGCGGCGCGGCCCGGCAGCAAGGCATCCCGGATCGCGGCAACAGATGCGGCTCCGTCCCTCCTCGACACGTCCCGACGACAAGCCGCCGCTGCTGCACGTTCCCCTGCCGCCGCCGCTACCTCCGCTTCTGCCGCTGCTTCTACCACAGCTGCCGCTGCCGCGGCGCTCGAGGACTCGTTATCGAGTCGCGGCATTCCCGAGGCGTATTCAACGGACGCGCAAATCCTGCGCGGCGAGGTGGAGGGATTCGCGGGGATGAACGAGGAGGGCGAGTGGATTCTGCTGTTGCCGTCGGGCCGCAAGCGGCAGTACCCGCGAAAGCGCCGCTCGAAACCTCGAGTTCCTCTCGCCATTGACCCCGTTGACCGCGTTGACGCCGTTGACTCTGTTGACGCCCCTCGAAACGCCGCATCCAGCGTCCGTCTGCCGTCAGATGTGTCGCAGATTGAAGAATCTACGCCGTTCGTGGTCAGCAGCGGAAGATCAAATCTGCTGCCTGTCGTTAATCCCGAGCTTTCAGGCTCTCCTGGGGCGCCACGTGGCAGGCATCCGTCCCCTAGAGCCTTATCCGAAGCGGCAGTGAGGGTGAGAAGGGAAAGGCAGAAGTTGCAGCAGCAGCGCCAGCAGGGGGGCGACGCGCTAGTTAATGACTATAACGAAGGGTCGAATGATGCGACAAAGGCTGATGTGACTGAAGCGGACGATGTTTTGTTCTCTGCGCCTTCCACACCCACCTCCCCTTCCTCCTCCTCCTCTTCCTCCTCCTCATCCCCCTCCCCGCTCTCCCCTCCCTTCTCCCTGTTCCCATTGCTGGCTTCCGACTTGCGCCCCGCTTCCGCTCCTGCGCCCGTTTCCGCCGCTCCGCGCACCCCGCTGCCCGAATTCGCGCCGTCGCGAGCAGCCGACGCAGTTCAAGAGGCGGAAGGGGGGAGGGAAGCGGAGCAAGCGGGCGAGAATTGGCGGGGAGTGTCCCACAAGCGTACAGTGAGACTGAGCTTAGCGCGTCCGCCGTCGGCGATCAGGCGAGCGGCGATAGAAACCACAGAAGTTCCGGACCATCAACTGTGGGCTAAGGAAGTAGGAAGGGGTGCGGAGGAGGCGCAGGCGGCGGAGACGCAGGGGGAGAGGGAGGGGGAGCAGCGCGGCGGAGCGGAGGTGGCAGGGGCGCTGCATGCCGTGAGGCGGCACCTGAGTGGGGGAGCGCGGAGCGGGATAATGACAGCTAGAGCCATGCTGGACGAGGTGAGTGTCGAGCAGCTGGAGCGAGGCCAAGTGAAGGGCGGCGGGGAGAGGGGAAGACGAAGGGAGTGGGTGAGGAGGTGTCGAAAGGCATGGAGGAATACAGCTGCTGGGAGCATGCAGCCATGTATCATTTCCTGCCCAACTCTTGTTTCCCACGTCCTGTAGGAAGGCAGGCAACCCCGTTTTCTCTGTGTCCCTCACTCACACTCTCTCTGCTTCGCTCGCCCCCCTGTCTCCCCGTGTCTTCCCTGTCTCCCGCAGCTGCTATCCCAGCAACCTACGAACCCTCAAGTCCAGGAGCACATGGCGCTGGCAGAGAGGAAGGCAGGCAACACAGCAGCCGCCAGGGCGTGGTACCGACGCAGCGCCCAGGGCTACGAGGAGACTCTGGCGGTTGGCACTGCCTCCCCGCACTCAGGGGGTGCTTTTGTGAACCACCACGGCGACGCAAGGCATTCAGACGCCAGGCACTCGGTAGAGAGAGGGCCTGCGGAGCTAATGAGTGCAGGAGTTGCAGAGGAGGGTGTGCACCTGAGGAATCACCTGGGGCGGTGCCTGCAGGCATGGGCGGGGATGGAGGCGGAGGAGGGCGACATGGTGACCAGCAGACAGCTGTTTCAACGGTCAATGGTGATACTGACGCGGGGAGAACCAGGCTACCAGCAACTGCAGGAGCAGCAGGGCAGAACTAAACAGTCGGGGCAATCTCTGAAGGATAGTGGAAGCCTTGTGATTGGCCTGCACGCCTGGGCCATGGCTGAGAAGCGTGAAGGGAACTTTCAGGCTGCCCGAAACCTGCTGGAGCAGGCAGAGAAGCTTCAGCCGGGAAGTCCTGTGGTTCTGCAGTCACGAGCCCTTCTGGAAGCTTCTGTTAAGAACCTGGGTGCAGCCCGGTGCTACTTCAAGAAGGCCACTGCTGCTGCCCCTCTTGACGTTGCGTCCTGGCAGGTGGGTTCACTCACTGTATCACTGTTGCGCAATACTTCATATGCTTGCTGCTGCTCTCTTCCCACTATCTCTTCCTCGTTGATTCTTTTCGCTGCTCTCGAGCTCTCCCTGTCAGCACGCTGTTGGCAATTCAATGCGTGGCATCGCAACTGCCTCTCATGGAGCTGCATGTGAAGAACCCACCACGTTCTCACCCCGCCCATGCACTCTCTCCTATCCCTCATCCCACCTCAGGCATGGGCCCTCCTCGAAGCAAAGGCTGGCCGGGCAGAGCGCATGCGTTCACTCTTCAGCTCCGCACTATCAGCCAACCCCAAGTCCATTCCCACTCTGCACGCGTGGGCGTGCCAGGAGGCCCGCCTAGCCACACCCGAGAGCAGGGAGGCAGCCAGGGGGCTATTTCGGAGATGTTTGGAGGTGCAGCCTGGGTGTGTGCGGGCGCTGCAGGCGTGGGGTGTGATGGAGCATGCTGCAGGGGATGTTGAGGCGGCCAGGAGACTGTTTTACTGCTGCCTTGAGGCTGCTCCGAGCTCAGTCCCCACTCTCCAGGTATGCTCCCTCCTCTCTCACCTCACCCCGCATGTAACAACAACTACCTTTTTCTTCCCTTGTTGGAATCCGCCGGCCTGCTTCGTTGCAGTGTCATGTGATCGTAATGTGGCCTTAAGTTGTTCCATGCCCCATCTCCTTCCACTTGCATATATCACCCCCATTACCCCCTAACAGCTCCCATCAACCCCCGTTCTCCCCTCTCCTCTTCACCCTCGTGTCTCTCAGCAGCGCTGGGGAACTTCAGCAGCAGCGCTTTGAGCTGTCTGTGCGGGCACCTCAAGAATAATTTCTCCTCCCTCCCCTGCTCCTCTCCGCCTTCTCTCTGACAGGCATATGCATGCTTAGAGCGGCAGCAGGGGGACCTTCTCAAGGCCCGCTCACTCCTACAACTCGCCCTCTCAGCCCAGCCGGGCAATGCTGCAGCACTGCAGCTGGCAGCAGAGGTGGAGGAGGCGCTGGGGAACGCAGCAGCAGCGTATGAGCTCTTTGTGCGGGCGCACCAGGCGGATAGAACTGTGGCGAGGCGACGACGACGGATGCATGAGTCGGCCGAGGAGGGGAGGAGAGAGGCGCAGGGGAGAGGGAATGTGCCGCGGTGGGTGGTGGGGAAGATGAGGGAGCGGCGGTTGAAGCGGAGAGATGGAGGGAGGTGATGCAGGGGATAAGGCTGTATACCAAGAGTGTACCCAGAGTGTATGCTTACAAAAGAGGTTGGTGCTCATGGCTTGAGCGACCCAGGTGGAATAGGATTCTGTGTGCTGCTGCGGCAAGGCGTTGGAAAAGTGGTCTCTACTGCCACAGTAGGCAGCTTGTGTACAGTTGCAGAGTGTTGTTCTGTTGAAACAAGGTGTGATACTACGTACCAGGTTTCTCCAAGCAATGAGTTATGTATTGTTTGAATGTTGTTTGAGCTTTGCATTGCCGGAATTACAAAATTAGATTGAAACTGTGCAATTGAGCGTGGACCCACCAACCAGAAGAATGAAAGGAAGTAGGAACAGAGAGGAAAATAACATGTACACGTATTATTGAAGATTTTAGGACCGCTTCATTCAGACCCACCGGCTTGCGCGGCAACACACACCCCCTCAAAATTATGCAAACCCCGCAATACCAATTATCGCCACGGCAAGTCAAAACCGCGTCTCACCACACCAAAACCACGTCTCACCGTACCAAGACCTCCAATCTCGCGATTGTGACTCTTTTCCACCCCACACGCCCAACATCATTTGCCAAGCCTCTGCCGCACAAAATATTACCCGTAGCCTTCCGCATTCGACGGCGGCAGCAGCGCTGCGCAGAAAATTTATTATGTGGCATGTGACGTTTTTTCCCCTCAGCCAATGGAGCCCACGTTCTTCGCACGTATAAAGTATGCCACTATGCTGGAGCCAATCTTCGCTGTGACAGCATCGTTAGCACTACTACTAGCGCGCTACTCGAAAAGTCGCCACCATCCAGCCACGTATTTCTGGAGCCTTCAGTTTATATCGTATCGCCATGGCTCGCTCCATTCACTCCGTCGGCCTCGCGCTCTTCCTCGCTGCAGTTCTGGCGCTCTCCTGCGTCTCGTGCGCGCAAGGCGTCAGAGTTATTGCAGATGATGCGAACAAACTCCTGGCTGGAATGCGCAAGGCAGATGACGGTACGATGACCGATTTTATTCGTAGTATTTCTACGCACGGTTCCAGAGATTGCGTGAATGACCAGAGCCCCCCTCTCCTGTTCTCGTTCTTGGTATATCTGGCACCCGCGACGGAAGTTTCTATGGGAATCTGAGTTTTTTTCATGCAGATGCGCTCCGGAAACCATGGTCGTACCATGTGCATTCAGATCCGCTCACCTGCCTGTTGCCTCCTGCGGTGTCTTCCCATGAACAGGCACGCCATGCAGTCTGGTGTTCAAGCGGAAAGTGCAGGACTGCTACTCGCTCTCCCTCGTGAGAACGCAGAAGAGCATGGACAAGTGCAAGGACGACCTGCAGGCGCAGATTGCGCAGTGCGGAGGCAAGCCAGTACGGGTAAGCATGGACGGCTCAGAATTTACGATAAGGCCCTTTTGAGCCGCCTCGGGAATAGAGCATAGTGCAAGGAAGAACTGTTGGTGCAGATTGAGCAGTGCGGAGACAAGCCAGTACGGGTAAGACACTTTTGAGCCGCCTTACTGGCATAGATGGAGCAGTGCGCGAGGCCAGCGGCGGCGGGTAAGTCAGGTGCGTGATGTGGCTTCTATTCTCACTCGCACATGCCGTGCCATCTGGCTTACCACACGCACATGCCTATTCCGTTGGTTTTTTCAGTCCACATTAACTTTCCAAGATTACTTGCCACAGGCCAGACGTCCCTTCTAGTGCATGATAAACCATCTCACCCTGCGTGCACATGCTGTGAGACTGCCCTTTCTCCTTCCCTTGTCCTTTTTTTTTGCAGACCGAGTATCCTCTGGGAGGAGGAGCAGGCAAGCCTAGTAAGTCAGCAAGGTCAAGCGCCAAAAAATGATTTCTACTAGTGGACATGGGGGGAAAGAATATTGTTATGGGGGATGCTTCTTGTTAAAAAAATTCTCTAGTGCTTTGGTGGTGTTTTCTTCTGGGGTATTCGTATCAAGGTGAATCTGTCCCAAAGGGTTGCTTGTTGCTTTGGGGAATGCATTGGGAATCTATGCCCAGAATTGATGCTTGATTTTAGTAGCAGGTTTCTTGGAGGTTTGGGGTTTAAATTTGTTGCAGGACTTCAACTTTCAGCACACCGAGGAGATAAATCAAGAGTGCCAAATTTTGTATCAAATATCAAGTAGCACCAAACGTATACCGTACTCCGTTCATTCCTTCGAGTAATGAATAATCTCTTACTGTAACTTGGCAACTCGCTTGTTCTTCCAAGTCCACTGCCATCTGCGGTAGCCAATGAAGCTCCTGAGTACACGGTAAGGAAGAAAATGGAAATTAGAGCTGGCTTTGTGGGTCGCAGTAGGAACATCCCCCATCCGTGAGGATCGATTTTGTGCCCTTAATCTTCCATTTCCACTTTCAACGCGTCACAATTCTTCACACCAAGGAGGGGAGCTAATCACGCTGAAAGGGATAAGGATGGTGCTGACAGACTCGGCCGGACCACAAGAAGAACAAAGGAGATGGGAAGGACAGAGGAGGGTGATCGAGTGGGACAGAGTCATCGAACAGAGGGACTCCCTGGTCACCCCACGGCGGGCACGTGAAATCCTCATACGGCTCCACTGTAGGAACCTGCAAGTGGGCTCGAGGCTGTTTTTCATGGGGGTGGTCTGCCCACACTGCCAGGGAGAGGAAACCCCAGATCACTGCCTCCTTGACTGCCTGGCGGTGCAGGGGGTGGCGGATGTGATGAGGCATGGACTGGAAATAATGTGCCCGGGCCTAGCGTGGCAGGATCTGGAGGACCTGCTCTTCATGCAAAGAAGCACAACGTCGGGTTTTCCAGAGGGGACATGGATTGCAACATTCCTGCATCAAGTATGGCTGGCAAGATGCAACGCGGTGTGGAGGAATGAAGCCTTCCAACCTGGGAAGGTGACTCGGCAGGCGGTGGTAAAGTTTGTCGCACATGCGAGGATATACTGCGCGGCGCGCAGAGAATCAGCGCGGTTGAAGGGACTGTCAGAATGAGGAATGATGATGCCATTGATGTTGGTTGGGGTACATATAACAAACCCTAACTTCTGTACCCCCTAAGACAAACCTCACTACAGGCTACAACATTTGACACACCCCCATAGCCTAAGTGAGGGGTGTCTAGCAAAATCAAAAAGAGTACGGTCACAAGACCAGTCCAAAAGAAAACAAAGCTCAGGGTGGATCACAACGTCACCACACTCTCTGAGCACAAGCAACAGTGGCCACAAGGCCAGTCCAAGAGATCACAAGTATATATAGCAAGAGTACAGACGAAGCAGGCAATAAACTCAAGCCTACACATGACTAGAACCTGTGTCAACAAGGCCTAACTGCACACAACACCTCTGGTGGTCACGAGGCGGAAGCGCCTTGGTGAAGATGTCTGCAGTGTTGGCCTCGGACTCCACAAACTCGAAGCGAGCCTGTCCACGTCTCTGCAGCTCTCGCAGAAGAAAGTACCTGACGTGAATGTGCTTCACTCTGCTCTCCAGTCGCGGCTCACGACAGAGGAGGATCGACGCCTTGTTGTCAGTGAACAAGGTCGGTGCAGAGCTCGGCCGCTCATCAAGGTCGGCGAGCAAGAAGGTCAACCAACGCAACTCCTGTGCCGCCATGGCACCAGCGTAAATCTCAGCCTCAGCTGTAGAGGTCGAGACAGAAGAGGAGCGCGTGGAACGCCAGGAAACAGCTCCAGAACCCAGACTGAAATAGTACCCCTGAGTAGACCTGTGAGTCTCAGCGTCGTCAGCGTAAGAGGAGTCACAGTGACCAGTGAGTACGACAGACTGCTGCCCTCCAAGAACTAGCCCCACGCCTGATGTAGTCGCTAGGTACTTCGCCACCCTCACAGCTGCCGTCCAGTGAACAGTGTCAGAACATTGTAGCTTACTCATTTCTGTAGGCTATAGTGGGGTATCCCATAGGGGGTACAACACAATTAGGGTTTCATATTTGTACCCACTTCATTTCATAGTCATTCATTCACGTTCATCCTTTTCACATGGAATCAGAGCAGGTCCCATCCTAGGGACTGTTCTTTAGGGCCCACCGAAGCGCGCCCGAGGCGCGTGCCTTTTTTTTTAAGCGACCCTCCGAGTCGCCCTTCTCCCTTGCTAGCGGCCCCGCCGTCCCGTCGCGGCCCCGCCACCCCTTCGAGCGGCCCCGCCCCCTCAGTCGCGGCCCCGCCACTCCGTCGCGGCCCCGCCACCCCTTCGAGCGGCCCCGCCACTCCGTCGCGGCCCAGCCACCCAGACGCGGCCCTGCCACCCAGACGCGGCCCCGCCACTTCGTCGCGGCCCACCCGCCGCCCTGTCTGCGGCCTACCCGCCGCCCTACCTGCGGCCGTCCCGCCGCCCTGCCTGCGGCCTACCCGCCGCCCTACCTGCGGCCGTCCCGCCGCCCTATCTGCGGCCTACCCGCCGCCCTACCTGCGGCCGTCCCGCCGCCCTGCCTGCGGCCTACCCGCCGCCCTTACCTGCGGCCGTCCGCCGCCCTACCTGCGGCCGTCCCGCCGCCTTACCTGCGGCCTACCCGCCGCGCTCCCTGCAGCCCGCCCGGCCGCCCTACCTACACGGCCCAGCGGCAGCCGAGCCGCCGCGCCACCCAGGAGCAGCCGCCCAGGAGCCGCCGAGCAGCCCAGCAGCAGCCGAGCCGCCCAGCAGCAGCCGAGCCGCCTGGAGCCACCGAGCCGCCCAGCAGCAGCCGAGCCGCCCGGAGCCGCCGAGCCGCCCAGCAGCAGCCGAGCCGCCCAGCACCAGCCGAGCCGCCCAGGAGCCGAGCCGCCCAGCAGCCTAGTGGCCGAGTCGCCGGGCGACCTTCCTCCCGAGCCGCCCGACCTGCCCTGCCCGGTGAGCACTGCACTGCTGTCGCTGCGTACCCTTCCCCTACTGCTTGCATTGCTCCACTGTCGTAGTCATGGCTACACCCAGTGTCCTCGCTTTTGACGCTGAGGGTCGAGCCATTGACTTTGAGGTCTGGCTCGACGACCTGCAGCTGTTTTTACAGTGCGACAGGGCCGACGGTCTGTCTCTCTTTGACCTCACCTCTGGCGCCGTCCCTGCCCCTGCTGCTGATGCTGACGCCACTGTTCGCTCTCAGTGGGCCACGCGCGATGCTGCTGCACGTCTTGCTGTGCGTCGCCACCTGCCTACCGCTGAGCGCGCGCACTTTAGCCAGTACAAGAGTGCTCAGACCTTGTACGACGCTGTAGTTGCGCGCTACTCCTCCCCTGCCACTGCTGCACTGAGCCGCCTCATGCTCCCCTTCCTCTTCCCTGACCTTGCCGCCTTTCCCACTGTCGCTGATCTCATCACGCACCTCCGCACTAGTGACACTCGCTACCGCGCTGCGCTTCCTGCTGACTTCTGCGCCAAGAACCCCCCCCCCATGTACATCACTCTCTACTTCTTAGTCACTCGCCTCCCTGACTCCCTTCGTGTAGTCCGGGACCACTTCCTCGCGGTCTGTCCCACCACCCTCACAGTCGACAGCCTCGAGAAGGCCCTCCTTGCAGCAGAGAAGAGCATAGTTGCTGTAGGAGCCTCTCGAGGTGAACCCCGCGCCCCCATCTTTGAGGGGTGTTCTCCTTCCCCTCTCCTGCCCTCTGTCGCCTCGGCCGCTGCGGCCGACCTCGTTGGTCTTGAGTCGGTCGGTGCGGCGTCTGCCCCTAGTGGGAGACGCCGCTCTGGCAAGGGCAAGGGGGGCAAGGGAGCGGGTGGGGGCAGTGGGGGCGGTGGCGGTGGAGGTGGAGGCGGCGGAGGGAGTGGGGGTGGCGGTGGAGGTGGTAGCGGGGGTGGGGGTGCTAGTGGCGGCAGTGGAGGCGGGAGTGGCGGCGGCGGTGGCGGTGGTGGCGGAGGTGGCGGAGGTGGCGGCGGTGGAGGCGGAGGTGGGGGCGGTGGAGGCGGAGGCGGGGGGTGGCGGAGGTGGAGGTGGTCGGAGTGGACCGTCGCAGCGGAGCGGCACTGGTGGCGGTCAGCGCCAGCAGCAGCAGCAGCAGCAGCAGCGCTCTCGCGACGTCCCCACCCCTCAGCAGCTCCGTTAGTGGTACACGCAGCGTCAGCGTGGTGGGGGTTTTGGTCCCTGCACCTACGTTCTCCGCACTGGCGACCGCGCTGGAGAGCAGTGTGGGGGTGCCCACCCCGCCCAGCGCTGCTTTGGCCGCCTGACGGACGCGTGGCGTCAGCAGTTCCCGGAGGCCGCGGAGATCCCCCGCTGGGGAGAGCTGTCTAGGGCTGGTGTGGCTATCTTTGATCTTGATTTTGATGCTATCCTTGCTGCCATGTATGCTGTGACTATTAGTGATGAGGGTGACTGTTACCGGTGTTTCCCGCCCGACCCGGGCATTGGTACTGCTGCTCCAGGTGCCGGTGAGGCTTCTGGTCTAGGTGCCAGTGCGTCTGTGCTCTCAGGTACTGTTGAGCCTTCTCCCTCAGGTGCCAGTGCGTCTGCGCTCTTAGGTACTGCGTCGGCTTCGGCCTCCCACACCTTCACTCTTGACTCTGGAGCGTCTCGCTCCTTCTTTCGGGACCGCACCACACTTACACCGCTTAGTCGGCCGGTTGCGGTTTCCCTGGCTGACCCCTCTGGGGGTCCTGTCTTGTCTCGCTTCTCCACAGTCCTCCCGTGTCCGGCGGCTCCCTCTGGCACCCTGTATGGTCTCTACCTCCCCTCGTTCTCTACGAACTTGGTGAGTGGTGCTGACCTACAGGATGCGGGAGTCCACCAGTTCACCCCTGCTCGTCAGCGAGTGACGCACTGCACAGAGGCTAGCACGGGTCGTCACCTGGTTACGTTTACACGTCAGCCGGGGTCGAGCCTGTACACACTGACCACTGCTTCTCCTCCAGC